AATAATAGCTCATACCGGGAAATTAGGAAAACCCACCTCATCTAATATCTCCAAAGACACATAGACAAGCTTTAATAACATCTGTGGATTTCGTTTGTGTAAAAATAATAGGAAAACACAAACACACAAACATATTTATAATAGTTGTTTTTCAAAACAGTAGAGAATCCTACATTCCACCATAGGAATAGATGTAGACTCTTTGTTTTTACGCCACATTACTTATCTCAACAACAACAAAAGCAACAGCAGCGGCAGCAGCAACAATTTGTCCTTTTAAAGGCCATTCAACGGGCCACGAACATGGAACACAACAGCAGCAAGATAGTAATGGCAGTAACATTTCAAAATAACCGAGAAGAAAGAACAACAAAAAGAAACAACCTTGCAGGGATAGTGGCAACACCTACCCATCCCTCTCCCTCACCACCAATTGTTTTACAAATGTATCGTGAAGGAGTGCTGGTTGATGGATTGCTTTGCACATCATTCATATTTCTTATTGCTGGAGGTGGTAGGCACCCAGGCAGAGGATCCATTATTGGAACAACTGCAAATTCAGTTCTGCCCAAAGCTATTTTTTCCTCGCTGCTCACCATTGCACGTTATATTGCTCATTCGTTCGAGAAAAAGAGGTCAGTACAGATTTTTTCCATGACCTTGAAATACTGAGACAGAAAAGCAAACAATTTGTGAGGGTGATTCGTTAATTGCACAAAGAGTTCAAGGAGGGGGAATTTTTTTCTATAGGAAAACACCTAAACAAATTTATTTTTCTATAGAAAAAAGTCTTTACAACAACTCAGGACTCCTATAGAGTCCTCAAAGAAGTGACGATTTTTTTCCATAGAAAAAAAACAGGAAACTAAGAAATTCTCAGGAAACTAAGAAATTTTTCTATAGAAAAAAGAGTCAACCTAAAAATGAGGAATTTTTTTATAGAAAAATAGTCCTCAGAAATTTGTTCTATGGATAAAAGAGTCCTCAGAGGAGATGTGAATTTTTTTCGATAGAAAAAAGAGTCCTCAGAGAACTGTGTATTTTATCCTGTAGAAAAAAGAGTCAAGAGAGTACTGAGGATTTTTTCTATAAAAAAGTCATCAGAGATACGCAGGATTTTTTCTATAGAAAAAATACTCAGTTTTTGATGACTAATTTTTCTGTAGAAAAAAATCCTCAGTTCTGTGAGGACTTTTCTATAGAAACAATTCTCTTTTTTCTATAGAAAAGAATTTCTCAGTACTACTCTGGACACCTTATTTCTATAGAAAAAAATCATCAGTACCTCTGAGGCCCTTTTTATTGAAAAAGTATCCTCAGTATTTCCGAGGACACTTTTTTCTATAGAAAAAAGTATCCTCAGTACCTCTGAGGACTCTTTTTTCTATAGAAAAAATTCCTCATTATCTCTGAGGACTCTTTTTTTATAGAAAAAATCCTCAGTACCTCTTAGGACGTTTTTTATAGAAAAAATCCTCAGTAACTCTGATGACTCCTTTTTCTATAGAAAAAATTCCTCAGTACCTCTGAGGACTCTTTTTTCTATAGAAAAAATTCCTCAGTAACTCTGAGGACTCTTTTTTCTATAGAAAATTATACTATAAAAAATTCTATAAAAAAATTCTTCAGTATTTCTGAGGACTCTTTTCTATAGAATTTTTTTATAAAAAAAAAATCTGTCTTTTTTGTATAGAAAAAAATCCCCAATACGTCTGAGATCTCTTTTTTCTATAAAAAATCCTTCAATACTTCTGAGAACTCTTTTTTTCTAAAGATAAAAAACTCTTTTTACTAGAGAACAAATTAAATTAATCCGTTTTTGTGACTATTTTCTGTAGAAAAAAATTTTTCTGGGGACCTCATTTTCTATAGGAAAGAAATCTTTTTATAAAAAAATTAACACTTTTTATTTAAAAACGCATCCTTAGGTATCCATTTTAACATTTTTTAATATAAAATATTTCTCTATTGGTTGTCAGAAGAGAACAACAGGACTCAAAACCTTCCAACACCTCCCTCATGTAAATGCTTCTGACGTATTTATTAAAAGCAACAATTGTTGCTCAAATGCGATTTTTAGCAATGATGAAGATATGACCAACAACAACAACAATTTGCGTAGATGTTTCAAGTCTGCCTTCATGACTAATTTAAAACTTTCCGGAAGATATAGCAGGAAATCTCTGACAACCAAGGCACACAAACAGATGAAGAAAGGACAGGAGGAAAATAGATGCTGACTTCGGAGACCTCCACCAACCAGCCAAAGCCAGTCCAATGAATATTATCAATGACAAAAAGCTACAACAACAAAAAAGCAAGTAAATCTGGGTCAACTTTGTTACAACAACAACAACGTGATACACAACATCGTCATGCATTACAACGACAACAATTCAATGATTTTGATGCAACTACAATTTGGTACTAAAAAGCATAACAAAGCAACAAGAACACCAACAATAGACTTAATCAACAATAAGGTCTGCTCTGATGGCGATGGTTACAAGTTGTTTGAGTAACAGCTTCGTTTGCCGAAATATAAAAAAAAACATAAACAGAACAGATCAGAGCTGCAATGGAACACTGTCGTCATAAAACGTGATGACGACGACGATGTTGCTTGCTTTTCATCGTCATCATCGTCCCATAGTCCACCACCCAGCCTAGGCGAGCAGGCAAGCATCAAAGGTAGGTCTAGGTACTACTAATAAAGACATGTCTCTTTTGGTGCCACCAATTGAGACACCTCTGTGAACCATGAACTAATTTTCTGTTGTGGTGCGGTTTTTTTTCGAAGTTTGAAATGACGTAGCCAACAAGCCAAAGTAGGTAACAAATGCCAGTATGTCTGTGTGTGTGCACGTACATGGTTCAATTGGTTCGATTTTGGTCACACATTATTTCTCTTGATTGGTTTAAAAAAATTATTAGGTGAGGGGAGTGGGGATATTTATTTGAAGTTCTTAGCTTGAAAAGCTTAAGCATTCCACAAAGATACAAAATACTCTAGAAAGAATAATTTGAGACCAAAGAACTCTTTTCTATGGAAAAGATCCCCAGTTCTCTGAGCACTTTTTTCATAACAAAAAATTCCTCAGTTCTCTGAGAACTCCTCAATTCCTCTGAGGACTCCTCAGTACGTCTGAGGACTCTTTTTTTCTATAGAGAAAAATTCCTCAGTATAACTGAGGACTCTTTTTTCTATAAAAAAATTCATCAGTAACCCTGAGGACTCTTTTTTTCTATAGAAAAAAGTTTTTTCTCTTTTTCTATAGAAAAAGAAGTTTTTTCTCTTTTTTTATAGGAAAAAAATCCTCAGTATGTCTGAGGACTCTTTTTTCTATAGAAAAAATTCCTCAGTAAGTCTGAGGACTCTTTTTTCTGTAGAAAAAATTCCTCAGTAAGTCTGAGGACTCTTTTTTCTATAGAAAAAATTTCCTCAGTAAGTCTGAGGACTCTATTTTTCTATAGAAAAATAGAAAAATTCTTTTTCTATAGAAAAAATCCTCAATTCCTCTGAGGACTCCTCAGTACGTCTGAGGACTCTTTTTTTCTATAGAGAAAAATTCCTCAGTATAACTGAGGACTCTTTTTTCTATAAAAAAATTCATCAGTAAAAAAGAAAAAAGTTTTTTTCTTTTTCTATAGAAAAAGAAGTTTTTTCTCTTTTTTTATAGGAAAAAAATCCTCAGTATGTCTGAGGACTCTTTTTTCTATAGAAAAAATTCCTCAGTAAGTCTGAGGACTCTTTTTTCTGTAGAAAAAATTCCTCAGTAAGTCTGAGGACTCTTTTTTCTATAGAAAAAATTTCCTCAGTAAGTCTGAGGACTCTATTTTTCTATAGAAAAAAATTCCTCAGTAAGTCTGAAGACTCTTTTTTCTGTAGAAAAAAATTCCACAGTATGTCTGAGGATTTTTTTTTTTATTTTTGCAAAATTAGCCTTAGTTCTCGGATGACTCTTTTTTCTTTAGAAAGTAATTCATCAGTTCTCTTAGGACTCTTTTTTTATAAGACCAAATTCCACAGTTCTCAGAGGACTCCTTTTTCTATAGAAACATTTTTTTTCTATATAAAAGAAGTCTATCGTTATTTTCAAATTAAATTTCTAGAATTTCAACAACGAAGTTGCTTCCCCATCGTTCTCGAAAATAATGCCCAAGCGATAAAACAAAATATCTAGAAAATAAATTGAGTTATCATCAAAACAAGTCCCTCCCCTTCCATCTTCCTCTTCCCTCCTACTTTATTATCATGAAAAACTAAGATTACCTTGAAAAATTAAAAACAAAACAAACGAGGCAAAAACAATTTGACCTTGCATCAATGGTGCTGTTTGTTGTCAGCTACATACTAGGCGTGGTCTTGACCAAGTCCAAAGGATTTTAAAACTTAAAATTAAAAAAAAAATATTTTTGTTTATAATAATAAATTGTTTCAGATTATCACAGTTTTGAAATATAAAAACAAACCGAAACAAAAAATCACAACAAGGACGCAAGGTGGATGGATGGATGGTAGAGAATAAACTGCAATAGTTTTTGCAAAGTGAATCTGGCTCAAGGACATTTTGAGATGATGATAAAAGGAAGAAGAAGAATATATACCAGCAACAACAACAACAGCACCATCGACCACGACGCAGCTTTAAGCCATGACAACAACACTGGCACTGTCATGAATTGCATAAAGGCAAGGATAAAATAGAAAAACACACGCGCATAACTAGAAACCAACACCCCTCCACCTCCCTTTTTCGTGCACCTGCCCCTGCTACAAACACATAAAATGCAACGCATAATGATGAGTGGTGCAGCAGCAGTAGTAGCAGCGAATGCCAACAAAGGTGACTTTATTGCCAAGTGCTGTTGCAGCAGCATCCGCGTAAATGGCAAGGACTTTTACTCTATGTTTGCATTTACGCAGAAGGGTTTGGTAGGATGGATGGTTGGATGGCTGGATATTCCCTTGGTTGCAACCAGTTCATAGCCATACTCACCTGCTGCAAAGTGTAGTGGTGTCGATTTGCGTCCTGCCGTATCACGAGCATTAACTGTCTGTGATGTTATCAGCTTCTTAACTTTGGCAATATCGCCCGTTTTGCAGGCCTCGAACAGCTCACGTAATGGATCATTGATGACCGCATCCAGGTTAACATTTATAGCTCGGCTGCGGCTGGTCATGGTATTGAATCCAACATTAAATCCACCAATAATTGTTTGCAAGTTGATGTTTTACAGCTGGTGAGGGGGTGAGGGCCACCACCAGACCAGACACTCTTTTTTGTTTTTTCTTTTTTTTTTGCGTTACGTTTTGTTAGTTATATTTCGTTTGACTGACTGGCTTGCTGGGCAGAGAAAACAAAAACAATACACGAAAAATTATACTTTTCTTCTTTTTTGTGGTTTTTTATTTTGCTCAATAATAATTTTCTTTTTCTTTCGTCAGGGTTTTCCTTAGCAGCCCTTTTGCTTTGATATTACTTCTTTTCACAACAAGGGCGTTTTCAAACAAAAAAAAATTCCCTTGAATATTTTTCTCATTGGTTTTTTTCCTTCTTATTTAGATTTCCACACAATATATTTCCAAGATTTTATTTTGCACACTTATTTTTTTTCTTCTACTTTTGATAGGCCCCACAAAAATTGCACTTGTTTTTTCGATTTTTTCTTTTCTTCAGCTCAGCTTTGCCCTTCCTTTTTCACCAAATTTTATTTATTTTTTCTCGATTCTTTTGCACACACAATCGCTGAACGCACACACTTTCCTAATAATATTTACTTTTTTAACAAATTATTTTGACCAATACATTGTGATGTGTTTTTTTCCTTTTTTTCTATTTGTCTTCCGTGTGATATACCACCGACGACGGAGTAGATTTTTTTATTTATTTCGTTCAACAGCTGAATTTACAATAGAAGTTGTGTCGCTGCGAAACGAACGAAGTTCAGAGTAATGATTCACGGAAATGAACTAATGAAACTATTGTTCGTTCTGCTATCCACTGTGGAATGATTACTCGTCGTGTTAATTCCATTGGTTCATTTTTTGGTCAATCGAAAGTAATTCAAATGCGTTGATAATTGAAATAAAAAGGGAACGATTGAAATAACTAAAACAATCTGGTTACTTTTCCAGTAACATTTACTCAGTAAGGTCAGAAAGTAAGCCGTTTTACTCTATTTTGCTATAATACTGAGAAATTTTTTCCTTATAATATTTCAAAATGTTGGCAGCATTGCACATCGAATATAAGTAAAATTTACCACTTTGACATTTAATCAAGTCATCAGCTGCGCTAAATGGACTAGGTAGTTCCATATGCATTTTTGATATATTAATGGATAATTATGAAAGTATTTAGAGTAACTTCCGGTAATGGGGACTACGCGTCTAATGTGGACCACCCCCCATATCTCAGAAAATGCTTGAAATATGTCAATGCCGCCTTGATAAATGTTTTCCTAATTAGTGAAAACAAACATCAAACTTGGTTTTTAATAAATAATTGCAATGTTGAAAATTTAGTAATAGAAAATATAGCTCTGATTGTAAAAGTGAGATTTGGACATGTTTTAGCACAACAGTCGAACGTTTTTCTTCTCGAATATAAAGAATTTATGTGTTTTTCTTGTATTCTTTAACAAAAATATATGTAATTACAATCGGTGATTTTTAATTTTGAAGCCGATAATTATTTTTAAGGGAACCCCACCCATTCTCGATTTTAATTTTTCACGATTTTCAATGGGCTGGTAAATCAATACCAATGCTTATTAAGGTTTGTAACTTTGCACATATATATTTGAAGATTTAAAAGAGAAGAAAAATAATTTAAAAAAAAATTTTGTTATTGTTTTGTTGTTGTTTTTTGTAATCAAAGAAAAGTCCTTATTTTTGATGGCGGGCATGATAACTCCTCACTGGAACATCGGAATCCGAAAATTCCAACGGTGTTAGAAAGAGTACATGTCTGGCTCTCGTATGAACTAGGATTATTGACTTCGCTCTAAAATTAACAAAATGGTGGACCTTTGAAAAAATATTTTTGGAAAATCGCCGATTTTTTACCAAAACCCAAGTTAAAAAATAAGGAAGATCTTCACCGATTGGCTTTATCCTAGTTCATACGAGAGCTATACACTCCCAGAGAAACGTTGCAAAATTTGGAACCGATTGGATTATTAGTTTTAGAGTTATGGTGCCCGCCATTCGCAAAAAAATGTTTAGAGAAAAACGCGTTTAAAGTTTGAGAAGCCCTTCAGCCGTCACTTGATGCTGACACAATAAATCGGATATATCTTCAAGAGTTCTTGAGATTTTCACTTGAAATTTTGTAGAGACATTCTTTAATCAGTGTAGATTCGAATTATATCAACAAAAATTTTGGCCCCGAGAATGGGGGGGGTCCCCTTAAATAAAAATATTCAATGTCGGGTAATGTGGACCACTATAAAAATTGGGACCTTTTCATGAGGACGAGTTCGAAACATGGGCGCATTTAATAAACGAGGAGGTATTTTATCCTCTGAAAACTCGATATGCGAAATTACAGGTGCTTCGGTTGGATAATGAAGCAAGGACCTTCAAAATACCGCAAATGGGGCGGTATCCTTAAATGGGGGCTATTCCAAAACATGAACCCATATATTTTTGCATTCATTGTGCAATTAATTTAAATTTATCACAATCAATCCACAACCTACCTTTAACTTACGGATTCTGATTACCCACACATACTGGTCCACATTACCCGCCAAGTTATTTTTATTCGCACTTTAGAGTTTTTTGAAATATAATGCAATAACATTTTTATTGACAAATATATATAATTTTTAAGTTGGAATATCTTTAGTCTACATATCTACCATGTTGTCAAAACAATTTGTTTTTATTTTTTACCGTTGTTAGTTAGTTAAAAATTTCTAATGAATACGCCGGTTAATGTGAAAATTTTGTACTTTCTTTACTTTATCATAATGAAACTCAATTCACAATAGTGGATGTTGGCAGAAAACTTGAGAGACAGCTGATATCCAGTTGGTCTCCCTGAATGACTTTATTAATAGACCTTGGATTGAACCATGATGTAATAATAAGGGCATGATGCAATCATAAGATGATGTTTAAAAAAACCTTTGTTTTTGTCCCGACCATCTGTCAAATTGTTCCTTATAATATTACACATGGTTGGCAACATTGCACATCAAATTCAAGTAGATGCCATAATAGGGTGATGTATCAAAATAAAAACCTTTGTTTTTGTCTCGATTATCTGTCAAATTTTTCCTTATAATATTTGACTTTGACAGTTAATCGAGACATCAACTGCTCTAAATGGACTCCCTATTTATTGTGCCATGCTACGCACTTTGAAATTTAATCGAGTCATCAGCTGCGCTAAATGGGCTACCTATTTATTGTGCCATGGATTGAATAAAAAAATAATTTATATGGTTTTCTGTCTGGAAGTTATTACTTTGCTATGGAAGAAAAAATATTTCATGGTATTTTCCTTCGAGTTTTTTTGGAAGAAATTATAATCTTTCATTCAAAAAAATACAAAGATTTGATGCGTATGTTTTTTATATTTGACAGAAGAAGGCACTATCTGCACAGTTGCTTTTTTCTTATTCACCTCAAGTTGTCCTACCTTGGTTCTTCAGAATCAGGTGATATATACAAATTAAAGTGTCTTTTTCTGTATTAAAAAGTAGAAAAAATACTTTAAGATTCTGGAACAGAATCTTTCTTATTTATATATTTTTTAATTTTCATTGTATGTACACGATTTAGCAAATGATTAGCAAATCGAGATATTAAGCAAATCCGACAATAAAAAATAAACTTCAAAATTTCATTCTATTTGAATTTATTATCTAATTACTACTAAACACTACTAATTATAATACACATATGTTTTATGCATCCGCGAAAAGAAAACATCAAAATTTAAGCTTGTTTAATGAAATATGGCAATGTATCTAATGGGGCTGGGTAATCCATTATCCAAATGGGACCGGTGTGAACACTATCTGAATTACCATCTTTCCATGTACCCTTGGGTAGATAAATGTCACGTTTAGTTTCATTTTCCCTTATAATGGGAGCTGCGATAATGCTATCACCCAAGAGGAATTCTATAAAAAGGAAAACATAAAAATATTAATATTTTACAGATTTGAGAACTAAATTCTACTTACGATCACATATACCCTGAGCAGTTCTATCCTCTGGATCTACCCACCATAGAGGAGGATTAACCGGTTCGCCTGTGCTGGCGGCCAACTTAAAACGTTCCATTATCTGTGGTGTATAGTCGGCGTGCAATTTTGTAAATTTCTTACTAATCTCAATTGTTTCCTCATCGAAAGTCCATGGCACAAAAGAGAATTGTAAACTTGGCATAAACACATTGGCCTGCAGCCATCTTATGAACAACTCCTTTGTTGGTGGTTTATTATTATAACCATTACCACCAATCATATCGGGCAATACAAATGGATAACCGTTCATATTCAATTGCAATAGGGTTGTGATCAGCGTCAATAAACCATTATTCCAACTCCATTCCGAGTCTTTGTCAATCATACGAACAAAAATGGCCATATCTTGAGTGCCTTGGCCAGCACGTACCTCAACCATGGGACCGAAGGAGCCCACAGTACGTACATATTGTTGGGTAATCTGGTGTGGGGAAAGTACATCGTCTCCGCTCAATATGGGATCGCTTGGCACCCAACTTGTCTCGCCAGCATCAAACTTAAAGCTCTCAATACCATCTTCGGTTTGTAAACGCTGTAAACGTTTCTTAAACCATTCTTGAACTTCCGGTTTTGTAAAGTCAACATAGGCAGCTTCACCAGTTTTACTATTCCACCATTGGGTGTTGGGTTTGCCATTGTGATCCAAAACTAAATATCTGAAAAAGAGAGAAAGAATTTGAAATGTTATTTTTAATAGTAATACTAATAAATGGGTGATCTGTCAGTGTCACTCCGAGATTAAATATATGTTCATGAATGACACAATTGGTATGTTCCCACCATGACCCAATAATAAGGTGATGTATCAAAACAAAAACATTTGTTCTTGTCTCGACCATCTGACAAATTTTTCAATATAATATTTCACATGATTGGCAACATTGCACATCGAATTCAAGTAGAAATTATGCACTTTGACAGTTAATCAAGTCATCAGCTGCGCTAAATGGACTACTTATTTATTGTACCATGGTACTGCACTGAAAGAATTTACTAATTTTTACTATATTTGTCGATATCTCGACGGATTATTGCTGTACGGGAACACACCAAATATAAACAGTTAAAGGGTTCCCTTCATTGAACATACCCTTTGGCAAGAGCATCATTATATGTGTCTTGACAATTATTATTAATGAAAGGATGTATCCACAATGTTACACGGAATCCTTTGGCCTTCAAATCATCAGTTAATTTTTTAATATCGGGGAACTTTGATTTACGGAATGTCAGGGCACCATAACAATCCTCCCAGTCATCATCAATTTCCAATTGGCTATTCTCAAACCCGTAGTTCAAAACCGCATCACCAAAATCACGTACAATTTGTTCATTAATATCAGCTTTGTATAGAGCCCATGTCGACCATATGGGATATTTAACCATACGTTCATCCGGATAACTGGTAGGATGTCCCAGCAAAGTTTCAACAGCATGCATATGAGCCGTTTTAGCATTATCTCCAACACCAATGTGATAAACAAAACTACGCGATTTGGCTCGGGTATTATAGGGTAAACTATTATGGGCCGATAAACACAATTTATTCTCATAACCTTTGGCATTTTGAGTAATGAATAATGGCGTCTCGGTTTCCACATAAATGAATAGACCATTTGAATTAAGCCAATAACGTTCGGCAACACCGGCATTATGGTCCTCTTTTGTGACATAGGAATAATCTTCAAATGTTAAACGTTCTACGGGATAGTATTGATAACGATCTTCAGGGCCACCATACCAATGTGTTGAAGCCATATCTAAATCGAAACAATCCATTGGTTGTCCATTATCGGCAACATTCTCACGTATTACACGCACGTGAGTTATTGTGTCACTAGATGTGACCAATTCGAATTCAATTGTCTCCTTGCCATCGCTTATTTGTATGGTACCTTTCGTTGTCATCTGTAGATCATTGTCAGTATTAAAGTTGTCAAATGTTACAGTTTGTAATATTTTGGAACCTGAAAAGAAGCAGAAAAAAATAAAATTCAGTCGATATTCTTCACTACGAACTCGATACTCGATTTTGGAAAGACATCATATAATTTTATTAATTTTTTGCATTTTTAGTTATATGTTAATAAATGTTAAACAAACACAACCATCTGTTGCGTATATTTCTTTTATATTTGACAGAAGAAACCACTACCCACAGAGTTGCTTTTTTTGTTATTCACCTCAAGTTTTTCTACCTTTTATTATTGTACTCAGATACACTTAGGCTACGTTTAGACTACTAAATCCACTCGATTTCAAATGTCAATTTAATTGCGTACACGTCACGTTAACCCTGTTCACAAATCCAGTGGATTATATTTGACGTATAATGGTGTTTTTATACGATATATATTTTACATATGTGCTGTCACATTATTTACATATGGAAATCGAACTCGTAATGTGAAACATACGGAAATTTCAATGTGTCAAAACGATATGCAATTACATATGTATTTTTTCCCAATAGGACGCGCTCTATTTTCCTATGTGAAGCATAAGGAAATCAGCTGTTTGAATGAAACACATTGTTGGAAGAAAATATTTCAATTGCAAGTCAAAGAAAAGGATGAAAAGACAACAATTACAAATTATTATTTCGTTTGTAGGTGTTTAATACAAAAAAATTATGTTGATTTACGAAAAAATAAAAGTGTTTTTTTTTTTTTTTTGTTTATAGGTTATGTCATATGTAAAATACATATGCCGATTTGAACACAAAAAATAAAAGTTTTGTGTGCGCTGCTAATTTTGACACACATAAGGAATTACATATGGATGAAATAAGTGATAGCACATATGTAAAATACATATGGTGTAAAAACACCATAAGCAATCGAATTGACATTTGAGATCGAGTGGATTTAGATTTAGGATTTTGTACTTGAATTCGATGTGTAGTGTTGCCAATCATGTGAAATATTATAAGGAAAAATTGACAGAAGAATCAACTGTTCCAGAAACCATGCCACAATTAATGGCACTCGATTAACTGTCAAAGAGCATAATTTCTACTTGGATTCGATGTGCAATTTCAGTAAATAAAATTTGAGTATATTTAATCGCGCAGTCACCGCGATTTCATCTGTATTTCACTAATGTAATAATTATTTGAAAAAAAAACTGTAATGTGTTTGAAATCATTATTTGTATTTGTAATTATAAAATTTGCATGTTCGTTTCTATTATCTTCGATTTAATTATAGCAGCTACAAAATGTTTAACAATAACAATGATAATTGTTATCAGTAATTAATTACATTTGTTTTTTTACAAATTTTTATTTTTACACGCATAGATACTTGAGAGAATTGGCGTCAGCACTTATCATCAAAAGTCAATAAAGAAATCAGGAATTTTCATAGGTAGATTAATTATAGGTCTATGTTTAAAGGAAACAATATATTAGGAGAAAGTCTTTTTAGAGTTGTATTATGCATAAAAAAATATTTCATGGTATCAAATAAACACAGCCACTTGTTGATTTTTTATGTTTGACAGTAGAAGGCACTTCCTACATAATTGCTTTTTTCTTATTCATTATCCTTCCTTCAAATGAAAAAAAAGGAAAATCACTTCATAATATTCACCTTTTAATATTTCATATTGTAACTTGGTAGATTTTTTCAATTTCACTGATATATCCGTATTGGCGAATTTATTTGTTTCCTCCACACGTTTACATCCTATTGAATAATCTAAGGATATTCCCAGGATCACGAACACAATTATTGTTTTTAAAGTAAACATTTTCACAACATTTCTTTATTCAGTTTCGAAATTTTACACAATTCGTTCTTTTGTTTACGACTATTCACAGAACTCTGTACTTAATTTGTAACAAGTTGGCGCCTTTTATTAAACTTTTCATCTACTCAACGTTGAGTATTTCCCGATTGTCATATCTTGTCAAGTATTTGTTTTAGGGAATAGGGTTCATTTGATACGTGATTTGGCCATTGTTGTTTTGTTTATTAGTAAATCCATGTGAAAATAGTACCTCCTCAACACTTGTCACAATAATACATTTCGATTGCACTTCAGTTTGGCAAATAAGCACACACACACACACATTACAATTAAATAAAAGCTGTTTTGAAAATAATAAGGGGAAAATCATATACTAAAAATAATAAGTCATCCAAATGACCGGAGATTATTAATGCTGATAATTTTCCCATAGGAAAAGCGGAGAGAAGAAAATAAAAAGATAAAAGTTTTTTTGTTGGGGTAGTCTTGAAAATGGTACAGAATTAATTTATTATAAAACAAAAAATAATTTACAAATTTGTATTTTATTTCATTTTGTCCAAAATCTTGAAAATACAATACCGTTTAATGTAGTAGATCTAAATCGTCAATTCCAATTAGGTGATTTTACACTATATGCATTTTACATATGTGCTGTCACTTTATTTACATATGCAATGTCTGTCAACTCATATGTCTTATGTGTGAAAATTACGTACACAAAAATTTATTTTTGTGTCAAAACGATATGCATTTACTATAAACAAAAAAATCACTTTTATTTTTTTTTCAACATAATAAACACCTACAAACGAAATAATAATTTGTAATTGTTGCCTTTTCTCTCTTGTTTTCTTCCAACAATGTGTTTATGTGAAACATAAGGAAATCAGCTGTTTGAAAGAAACACACTGTTGGAAGAATATATTTGAATTGAAAGTCAAAGAAAAGGATGTTTATAGGTGTTTAATAAAAAAAAAAAATATGTTGATTTAAATTATGTTGTTTTGTTTATAGGTTATGTCATATGAAAATACATATATAGGTTTGAACTCAAAAGTCGTGTGTACGCTGCTAATTTTGACACACATAAGGAATTACATATGGATGGAAAAAGTGACAGCACATATGTAAAATACATATCGTGTAAAAGCACAATAAATTCTAAATTCCATTACATATGGCACAATAAATAGGTAGTCCGTTTAGAGCAGCTGATGTCTTGATTAACTGTCAAAGTGTGTAATTTCTACATGGATTCGATGTGCAATGTTGCCAACCATGTGAAATATTATATGGAAAAATTTCACAGATGGTAGAGACAAAAACAAATGTTTTTGTTTTGATACATCACCATATTATTGCATCATGAAATGAATAATCATAGATGAGGCCAATTGTACGTTTACATTGTAAAGGACTAAGTTAACCCAGTGGGTTTTAATTGTCAATTCCATTACGTATTTGTCAAATAAAGCCTCATAAAGGAGGTTAACCCTGCCAAAGGTCTAATGTACATGTCGTTCAATAGTACATTTACTGGATTTCGTTTACCCAAGGGGTTAAATTGTCATTTCCATTAGTATTTGTCAAATAAATCCTCATAGAGGATGTTAAAGTTTTAATATAAATGTCGGTTTAACAGGATTTATTAAATTATGTTGGATAATAATAAATAGAACGCCTTTAGGCTACTAAATCCACTGGATCTCATATGTCAATTCTATAGGGTATGAGTCACTTTAATCATGTTCACAAATCCAGTGTATTATATTTGAGATAAACGCTATGAAATTGACATTTGAGCAGTATTGTTTTTGATTGCGGTAAATCCAGTAGATTTAAATTGTCAATTCCATTATATATGTCAAATAAATTATCATAAAGGAAGAATAAAAGATGAGATGATAATATTAATCAAAAATAAATTATTCTTATTTTCAATACGAATACTATCGACATACTAAAGCTATCATCATTTGTTGTGGCATCTTACATTTGTCGATCATTAATGTTTCTGATTGGTTTCGTTATCAGTTCTACAGTAATGACACTCAAAGTGCATTCATTATATTTACAATATTGATACTGTGAACATGTTCAATTCACGCAAAAAACACATTTGGTCTGTTCCCGTACTGCAAGAATCTACTAGTTATTACTACGATAACGAATTTTCCTTTATGATATCGAAGAAAATAGTAAAATCGAGTAGATTCTTGCAGTACGGGAACAGACCAATTGTATGAACGTCGACGTAATCAGCACATTGACAATGAAAATAATTGATAAGGAAATGCTGATGATCGTTTTCGTTTCTTTCTTCATTTATTATTATTAAATTGCAATTAGATTTGCGAAATCCACTCGATATCAAATGTCAATTCCATAGCATATACGACACGATAAAACGGCATGTACATGAGAACTTTTTCAATCCATATTTTCATAATGTTTATGATATAATTATACAGGGTAACCATGGTACAGTAATACAAGATTAGAACTAATGATGTGAATAACAAAATATCAACTCTGTAGGTAATGGCTTCTTCTGTCAAATAGAAAATAAATGTACGCAAAAGGTTATATAACTAAAACCCTAAAAAAGTAATGCAAAGTAACGATTTCGCCTAGGGATTACCGTGAAATCCCCATATAAAAAAGCTAGATTAGACTATGCCTTCTTAATTGTGTTGATTTTTAAATCGAAGTATAAAGTTGATTTATAAGCTGTTATTTGTTTACGTATACATACACATTTCACTAGTTTCATATCGAGAGTGAACTCAATCTTGTATGGTAATTCGAAGTAAATTCAACTCGATTTAGCAATTAAATCAGAATAACGCCCATTATCACGATAAACGCTACAGTCTAAACGCGCCAAAAATAATTTCTCCTAAAAGTATGCTTCAAAATACAATAAATTGGTAAATAGTTGTCAGACAAAAATATGACAGTTGCTGATATGTTTTTTTATTTATAATTTATGTTACTATATTTAAAAACAACAAATATATTTTTGTAGATTTTTCGCCGAATGGACAGCAATTCCTATAAAAACAATTAAAATAAAGCATTCCACGACATAATTGATACGTTAAACGTCATACGCCAACGCCATTACTGTGTTTCAACGATAACATCAACATTTGACGTATATCGATTACCAAAATACTTGGTATTCGATATGTCTACTGCAAACATTTGTTGTTAGTGGCAGAGCGCGAAATTTTTTTGCACCATCTGCATGCCGCCACACACCGCTCACACCCATATTTCATTGCAAATACTGTCGAATGCATTAGAAGAGGCAACGTTCTAGCCAGAGACAAGAAAGCCGGAAGAAAGACACGCTGTATCCAGTGGAAGAAGAAAATATACACAAACTAATAGAATATAACGCGTGTGTGTGCTATTAACTATTACATTGTTGAAGTGGAAGTGCGAAAGTGATTCATTATTTTATTTAATTTCAATTAAGCAAGAAACTATTAAGAAACATGTCACTGGCTTTCCAAAATGCCGAGTCTGTTAAACAGGCTCTTTTCGAGGAGTTACAAAGTTTGCTCAGTTCCGATTCGGCGGTACGACAATCGGCAGAACAGCGTATGAAACAATTAGAATTTACAGAAGGTAAGGTGTCACATAATTTAAACATATTTGTTTTATTTGTTAGACTCATGTTTGGTGGCGTATGTGTTTTTTAGGTTATGGCGTGTATTTGTCTGAATTGATAATGAACCAATCATTTGATTTGGCCCTTAGGCAGCTGGCTTGCATTATGCTAACACGTTATGTGGAAAATCGTTGGGGTGAATGCGATGAAGAAGGCAACCCCAATGTAGATGGCGGTCTGGCAACGGATCAAGCCAAGCGAACAATACGCAACATATTGCCAAATGGCTTGTATGATCCCAATTCAAAGATACGTTCATCGGTGGCCCATGCAATTTCGGCAATTGCTGCCACCGATTGGCCTGGTGTCTGGACTGAATTGTTTGATATTATTGTTAAATGTTTGGGTGGCAATGAGAATTCCATACATGGTGCCATGCAAATTTTACAAGATTTCTCATACGATGAGAAACAGATAAAGGAATTGGGACCAGTTATCATATCGGAGGTTTATCGTATTTTCGAGTCGGAGCAGAATTATTCCATCAAAACAAGAACATCAGCCATACGCATACTGAAGCCATTGTTTGCTTCGATAAGTATTAATATTATGGATAAACAGGAACAGGCCAATATGGCAAATTCTATTTTGACCAATTTCATGGAAAAACTTATGCATTATTTGTCAATGGATTGCGGGGCCTCGTCGAATTTTATGTTGAGAACGGAAATTGTTAAAAGTAAGTGACCAACCTCAATTATCCTCAATTTTTTTTTATTTTACTAATTGTAACTTCTTCCAGTTCTCACCCACTTGGTAACTGAAATGCCCAAATACATTCAACCACACATGGAACGTATTCTACCAGTTATATGGCGTTTGTTGACACAAGTTGCCGAAACGTATGTTAAGGTAACAGTTAACCAAACCGAACCCAGTCCATTCCCTGAAGGTGAATCTGAAGAAGATGATGAATTGAATAATTTCTCTGCCATGATCATACAAATTATTGAATTTGTTCAATGTGTAATTGGTGCTGGCAAATTCCGTTCAACCATTAAAAATGTTCTCACCGATTTGATTTATATTATGATTGTGTATATACAAGTTCCCGTTGAACAAATCGAAGATTGGAATGAGGATCCTGAACGATTTGTTGAAGACGAAGATGATGCGGGGGTGGAGTTGACCATTCGTGTCTCTGGCCAAGATGTGTTGGTGGTAAGTTAGAGGAGGACAGACATATCATTTGTTTTCACATTCAATTACAAAATATTTGTTTATTGCAGGCCTTGAATGAAGAGCTGGGTCCCAAGGTTTTAACAGCCTTGCAAGAAGCCCTCGGTCGTCACATGAATGTTGCCGAAGCTGAAAAATCTGCCGGCAATCCAAATTGGTGGAAAATTCAAGAAGCTTGTATGGTTGCAGTTCACGTTTTCCGTGATTTGATTTTAGAATCGGAAGATAAATTTGAATTGTTAAATTATTTGACTTTGGTACGCAATTGGTTGAATCATCAAGAGTGTCCACATTTGGTGGGACGTGCCTTGTGGACATTGAGCACATATTCCAAATCGAAATTGTATAATGCCCAAATGTTGGAAGAGATTTTGAATGTCACCTTGCAAAGTTTGCAGGACGATAAGGCTATAGTTTTGAAAATAAGCGCTGTAAGGTAAGTTCAAATCGTATTTTGTGGATAGAGTTTGGTAATTAACATTTCTATTGAAAATAACGGGTCATATCAGTACAGAAGAACTTTTTCTGTAATCCTTGAAAATTGTCGGAAAATCCTTCGAAACAAATGCTTAGCTTAGCTGGCTTGTTACAGAACGGTTGTTCCATAAGCCGAGCTTAAAAAAGATTTCCAAGCGCGTCGGTCTTGTGCGCAAGTCCACCAATTTGGAAGACCACGTTCCAAGATGTTGTTTTCTACTTGGTCTTTCCATCTAATTCGTGGCCTTCCCCTTCTACGGGAACCATCCGTAGGCTCATTTTTATATGCCTTTTGAGCTGGGGCATCTTCATTCATCCGCACAACATGGCCTAGCCACCGTAGTCGCTGCAGCTCAATACGACTGACTATGTCGATGTCTGCGTATAAATTGTAGAGCTCGTGGTTCATTCGACGCCGATATTCACCGTCGACGCAGATCGGCCCGTAGATCTTTCGGAGAATTTTTCTCTCAAACACCCCAAGCGCTGCCTCATCTGCTTGCGCAAGTACCCATGCTTCTGATCCATATAATAGCACGGGTAGTATCAGCGTCTTGTAAAGTGTGAGTTTGGTCTGGCGAGAGGTGGCCTTGTTTCTAAACTGCTTACTTATACCATAGTAGCATCTGTTGGCCATCACAATCCTTCTCCGAATTTCAAAACTGATATCATTCGTTTTATTTATGGCGGTACCAAGGTATATAAAGTCTTTAACTACCTCGAAGCTGTAGTTCTCAAGTTCCACAGTTGGTCCGAGTCTACTGGACGTCTTGCGCGTTGATACCATCAGCTTGGTCTTCTCGCCGTTTACTGCCAGACCCACTTTAGCAGACTCCTTTTCAATTTGTTCAAAGGTGGCTGTTACCGCTCGCAATGTTTGACCCATTATATCGATGTCATCGGCGTAGGCGAGTAACTGGTGTTGTTTGGTGTACAGAGTGCCATTTCTGTTCACCTTTGCGTCTCGTATGACCTTTTCCAGTAGGATGTTAAAAAGATCACACGACAAACTGTCACCTTGTCTGAATCCTCGTTCGGTATTGAAGGGCTCCGATAGGTCCTTTCCTACTTTAACGGCTGACCTTGTGCCACTTAAAGTTATCCTGCATAGCCGTATTAATTTTGCAGGAATGCCGAACGCAGACATGGCTTTAAACACCTCTGAACGGATAGGGCTGTCGAATGCGGCTTTATAGTCGACAAATAGGTGATATGTGTCGATGTGTTTTTCGTGGGTCTTTTCCAGGATTTGGCGCAGAGTGAAAATCTGGTCAATGGTCGATTTGCCAGGTCTGAAGCCGCATTGGTATGGTCCGATGATGTCATTGACCATTGGCTTCAATCGTTCACACAGCACACTGGATAGCACTTTATATGCGATGGGAAGGAGACTTATTCCTCTATAGTTGGCACATATCGTCTTGTCTCCTTTTTTGTGCACGGGACACAGGATGCTGAGGTTCCAATCATTGGGCATGCATTCATCTAGCCAAATTGTGTTAATCAGCTGGTGCATGCTCCTGACCAGCATCTGGCCACCAGTCTTGAATAGTTCGGCTGGTAACCCATCGGCTCCTGCTGCTTTGTTGTTCTTGAGCCGATTAATTGCTTTTATGACCTCATCTTGGCTAGGTGGTATACACTCTATACCATCATCTCCTATTGGTTCTGGGGTATCTTCTTCATCGCCACTATTTGATACTAGTAGCTTTTCGAAATGCTCCTTCCAGATCCTCAACACGCTGTCTGTATCTGTCACCAGGTTTCCTTCTTCATCTCTACAGGAGGATGTGCCTGCACCAAAGCCTTCGGTTTGGTGTTTTACTCGTTGGTAAAATTTCCGGACTTCATTCTGACTCCTGTACATCTCGATTTGCTCACGCTCACGTTTTTCTTGTTCTTTCTTCTTTTTTCTGAAAACACGTTTCTCCTCTCTCCTTTTCTCCCGATAATTCTCCATCACGTTACGTGTTGCTACTGTCTGCAGGGTTGCCCTATACGCTGCGTTTTTCACATCAGTAGCATTACGACACTCCTGATCGTACCATGGGTTTCTTGGTGGTGGTTTTTGGTACCCAATTGTTCTTTTTGCTGCAGTTTGTAGGGAGTGGGCGATTCTTTGCCATTGTGTTTCTATACTATTATCGGGACAAGAAGTGCTTTCTTCAAGCAGATGGGTAAGTTGAGCGGAGTAGGCCTCGGCTACCTGTTGTGTTTGCAGCTTTTCGACGTCGAGTTTCCGTGTTGTATTAGATCGCACCTTTGCTGCAACATTTAGACGTACTGATTTACTTACGCCTGTCCCTTTCCATCGCATTTCCTGTAAGGCAATAATATCGGCTTTGTACTTCTTAAGTATATCCGCCAAAGCGAACACTGCCCCTGTTCTGTACAACGTGCGCACATTCCAAGTGCAGATTCGCAGATCGTGGTCCTTTATACGTTTGCGGGGGTCGTCAACATTAGGGGGGTTTGGTTTTCTTTTTCTTTGCTTTTTCATAGTAGGTTGGGTTTTCCGAGAGTGGGCAACTAACCCGACGCCTCAACCCATTTTTTTATAGTTCTTATGGGTGAACTCGCGGCACATATTAGCTCACTATTTCATCGGGTGATGAGAATAGCTCCCCAGGTGGCACCGCGGGGAGGTCAGTGTCCACAATTGAGATGAAAGAGGGACCAAGATAAGCCTGGGCTTCGCCATGTTAAAGCCAATCAAAGCCGTTGCTTGGTATCTATCATCCCCTACGCCACCCACCTTCGAAACAAATATTCCTTCGAAACAAATATTCCTTAAAAATATGCGATTATTCCTCTGAAAGACCTTTAAAAAATATTCTTTAAAAATTCAAGATTAATTAACGATTATTTTCCTAGAATTGCATGATTTTTAAAACGAATTTAATATTTTGTATTCAAAATGCACATTTTCATATTTTCACTGATTTCATGTACATACGTCTTTCTTTATTCCAGAGCTATTCATGGATTCGTGCAGGCTCACGAAAAATCGGATGGTGAAAAACGTGCTTTGATACAAGCTAAATTACCAGGCTTTGTTGAGGGTATTATGAGCCTAATACCCGGCTGCAAGAGTTCAGTTTTGGCAATGCTTTTGGAAGCCTTGACGACAATTATAACGGTAAGTTTCATAAATTTCAAAATCTCTTTAGTTTTCGTAATAACTCAAACCCCATTTCTTTAATTTCTTCTTACACAGTTCGATCCAGCATTTGCTGCTCAAGCTCAAACGAAAATTATTCCCCTAACAATTGCAGTATTTTTGAAGTATCCCGAAGATCCATTCATTTTGGAAACCGTACAAGATGTAATTAAGGTCCTTTGCCAAAATCCTCATTGCCTTCAACCATTGCAGGAGAAATTCATTCCAACCATTGTTAGCATTCTATCGCTACAGGGTGATCAGGCAAATGCCGCAAAACAAGATATAGCTTTGGATGTCTTAACCACCATTGTACGGTATTCACAAGCGCCGTTACCAGCTGCTTTGGTGGAAAATGCCTTCCCTGCCATGATACACTGTGTACGTCGCTCCGATGATCAAGCCGTTATGGTGGCTGGCGGTGAATGTCTGAGAGCTTTCATATTTGTCTCTCCCGAACAAATTTGCACCTACAACAATGGCGAAGGCCTAAATTACACCATGGAATTGACCACAATGCTCTTGAATCCAATGAACAATGAAATGACTGCTGGGCAAATCGGTCGTTTGGTCATTACCATAATCACCAAAATGGGTAATATGTTGGGTGAAAATGTTGATCTGCTCTTGAAGGCAGTCATCAGTAAAATGCAGTTGGTGGAATGCCTTAAAGTTATTATGAGTTTAGTGGTGGTCTTTGCCCATTTGTTCCTTACACAAATGGATGCTGTATTGAATTTCTTGTCCACAGTGCCAGGACCAACTGGAGAACCAGCAATGCATTTTGTGTTCAGTAATTGGTTGCCCAAACAGACCTCCTTCTTTGGCACATATGAACGCAAAGTAACCACCATGGCTTTGTGCAAACTTTTCGAGTACGGTGTTACCACACAAGACCCACGTTTAACATCGGTGAACGTTAAAGATATGGTCATCAATGAGGCTGCCAACAATACACCTCGCATTAAAACACGTTCCCAATCGAATGCCAACCATCAATGGGTAACCATACCGGCCTTGGTGAAAATGTATAAATTACTTATCAATGAGCTGTGCCATCTTAAAGAAGCTAATTTAGATGATTATGAGACTGATTCGGAAGAAGATGATGATCCATCCTCAGGGGGTGGTCTCACCGACAAGCCATCTGGCAGCTCACCACCCAAGGCTCGCTTCATTTCCGATCTTTATTTCAACGATGATGATGACGATAACACCGATGACGATCAACTAACCCAGGAGCTGCTCAAGGATCCATTATTCCAAGCCAACATGGAAGAAAATCTTACCAAATTTTTACAAAACTTTTCAAGTAGTGAACATTTCCCCATGTTTGCCAGCCATTTGTCGGAGGCTGAAAAGGCTGTATTGAAATCTATACAAGTTGAAGTTCCTTAAATTGTTTGTCTGCCGTCGTCGAAGTTGGCTGGTTAATGTGGCGATATTATTATTATATTCACATTCACATTTTTCTGTTATTAAAAAAAATAGTTATTCTTTTTGCACTCATAATATTTAATAATTTGTTTTTTATCTTATTCTCTCCCATTCTACATTTATCCATGTTAAGAATAAACATTTTTTATACCACAAAAAAATAAATATTAAAATTTTTTGTATGCTTTACGATATAGGATCAATGATAGAGTGACCGACCGTACTGCTGGTGGTATCAAACCATGCAAATGTTTAATGACCTCATTGGATTTATCGCCCAAAGGTTTGCCATGCCAGTTATCCCAATCCTCAATGTTGGGGAAGAATTTACCTTTGAAGGTTTTGGCAATAATAGCAATGGGTTGATTTTTGGTATTGGCAGCTCATGGAAGGCCTTGCACAATTACTTATCATCATGTCCGCCGACAACTAGGTCGTTGAAACCGAAAACTTCCAAACGCTTGCGGTAAACATCCATTTGATGTTGCAAGGAGGTGGCTTCAGATTGGCCCAAACGATTTACATCGAAGATGAACCGTTGTGTATATAATTAGGCATTGCGCCGTTCCAAAGAATAATGTAAGTCCATGTTTTGGCCCACAAAACAAACCCAAATTTCGATATTTTTGAACTTCTAGCAGTTTTTTTGTATTCTCAAAGGATAAGCAATTTCCCGGCCCAAATTTGTCAATATAACCCCCATAGAAAAGAAATAGGTCCATGAAGGTCGGTCATGATATAATTTTCAGATCCCGTACTTATGTTTCTCATAAGTTCGGAATGTACTTATGCGTCCATATAAAAACAACATCTTAGATTTTTGTGTGTATTTCAAATATATTTTTGAAAGATTCTGAAAATCGGATATTTGTACATTTGATACAAAATGATGTATTATTTTATAAACATAGGTATATAAAAATAGTTATGAAAGAAATGCAATATTGAATGCCATATAAATGCATTACCGAAAGGAGATACAAAATGTTAGGAATGAAATAAATGTTTTTGTTTTTTTAGTATTTTGTTTGTGCTAACAACCATAATATATTATAACCCCCCACAAACTATATATATGGATATGTAGGGGGAAGGTATAATAAAAATAACGTAAATATAAACACTTAGTGTAAGGTAAGATATTAACAAGCCCTGCGCTAGTTGGGGGCTTTAGATTCATTTGCGCACAATTTACAATTTCAAAACAGCATTGGCAGCATCAACAACATGGCGAGCCGAGATGCCAAAGACATCCAAAAGTACGGTGGGTGGGCCGGAACGTGGTACACCGGGTACATACAAATGTTTGACAACGAAATCACGTTTGTCGGCCAAGGCTGAGAGGACAGCTTCACCCAAACCACCTTGTCTGTAGGAGAAAAAAAGAGAATAACAAACATAAATATATTTCAAAAATAAATGAAATGCCTTTCGATATACTCACTGGTAGTGATCTTCTACAACAACAATGCGACCACCACAGGCACGTCCATGTTCAACAATTAAATCAACATCCAATGGCTTAACAGTGAAGGGATCAACAACACGGGCATGTACACCGGCCTTCTCCAATTCAGCGGCAGCCTTCAAGCACTCATGCAAAGTGACACCAGCACCAATGAGCAAAACTTGATCGTTGGCCGATTGTTTAACCACCTTACCCTTGCCAATGGCGAAGGGTTCATTGTTCTCGTACAAAACAGCGGTGTTGGGACGCGAAGTACGAATGAAGCAAATGCCCTTGGTGACAGCAGCCAATTCTACGGCACGTTCGCAACTGACAGCATCCGAAGGATAGAAGACAGTACTGCCGGGAATGGCACGGAACATGGCAATATCTTCCAAACCCATTTGAGAGGGACCATCTTCACCAATGCTGACACCGCAATGGGAGCCGGCAAAGTTGGCATTAGTTTGGGAAATGGCACCCATACGAATTTGATCAAAAGCACGGGTGAAGAAGGTGGCAAAGGTGGAGGCAAAAGCAATGGTACGATCACGGCAAGCAGCACCAATGGTAACACCAACCAAATTCTGTTCGGCAATGAAACATTCGATGTAACGTTCGGGGAAGGCCTTCTTCAATTTATCGGAGAAAGTCGAGTTCTTGGTATCACCATCCAAGGCAATGACACGGTCGTTGTTTTCGGCCAATTTGGCCAAGGCGGTACCGTAAGCCAAACGGGTGGCAACTTGTTCTCCCAGCTTGTAGTTGGGTGGTGACGACAATTGCACCTTGGTAATATCAACTGGGGGTGCTGGCTTGCACTTGGTGGGTGTTTGGGGAGCCAATGCTGGTGGTCTGGCTGAAGAGTCAACCATCAAGCCTTGCAAATGTTTAATGACCTCATTGGCCTTATCGCCCAAGGGCTTGCCATGCCAGTTATCCAAATCTTCAATGTTGGGGAAGAATTTACCTTTGAAGGTTTTGGCAATAATGGCAGTGGGTTGATTTTTGGTATTGGCAGCTTCGTGGAAGGCCTTGCACAATTCCTCAACATCGTGGCCGTCGACAACGAGGGCGTTGAAGCCGAAAGCTTCCAAACGTTTGCGGTAAACATCCATTTGATGTTGCAAAGAGGTGGCTTCAGATTGGCCCAAACGATTTACATCGAAGATGACACACAAATTGTCCAATTTGTAGTGGCCAGCAAAGTGTAGAGATTCCCAAATGGAACCTTCAGCGGATTCGCCATCACCAACAACGACATAGGTTCTGTGAAACAAAGATTTTTTCATTGGAAAACAATTGCAGGCGCCATAACTCCTTACCTATAGTCAGCCTTGTCGAAATTCTTGCCAACATAGGCCATACCGGCAGCAACAGCAACACCCTGACCCAATGAACCGGTACCAACATCGATGAAATTCAAACGGGGTGTGGGATGACCCTCCAAATCGCTGTCGATTTTACGCAAATTTTGCAATTCCTCAACTGGGAAAAGACCAGCCTCAGCCCAGGCAGCATACAGAATTGGTGCAGCATGACCCTTCGACAAAACCAAACGATCACTGGAGGGATCGCGGGGGAATTTCAAATTTAAACGCATGGTATTGAAAAACAATACCGACAAAATTTCGGCAATTGAGGCGCATGATGTGGGATGGCTGTAAGGAGGAGGAGGAAAAAAAGGAAATAGAAGGTTAGATAAAAAAATGTGCAATTTTTCATCATCATAAACAACCTGTGACCTATTTTTTGGCTACTACCGTAGGCAACAAAATATGTTTTATGTTTTTTTTATCAAGATCAATCTGGTTTATGCCATAATGTAAATCGAACTTTGTTATCAGTGACAAAAACAGTCCACATGTTAAGTATGAGTGGGCCCGCCCGTCTAGACTAATAAAAAATCCGCACACACACGCAACAAACAAGAGATATGCAAACCATGTGGACTACCAAAAACGAAATACATTAACAATTTGGTGGGGGCTCGTCTTTTTTTTAATTTTGTTGCCAGCAGACTTCACATTTGCTTCTTTTTATTTCTATTCACAAAAATCACGTTTTTCAAAATTCGTTAATGTAGACAAACATGTCTGGCTTTTGCCGGTGTGTATGAACATATGTGTAAATGTGTATATATTTTGCGATTAAAAAAAAAAAAAACAACAATTTCGGCATATGTAGATTGTGCCGGTCTTTTATGCTTGGAAACAGATCTAGTGGAGATTGTTTTCTTTTTTTTTGGCAAATGTCTGTTCCTAATAGTCCAATAGGCTTAGAAATTTGTATGCTTAAGTTATAATATTGCTTTTTTTAATTTATTCAATTAACATTATATTAAATAAGTTAAACATATAACAAAAAATGAAGATATCTTCATAATATATCTGAATTTATGTTCAAGGTAAAAACAGATAAAGTTTGACATAAGAAGTCTCGATTTATATGAGGAGGTTTGCTCTTGAAAACCAAATGGAGTTTTTTGAATATATAGCTATCACAACTGTCTCTGTCTCAAAAAGCCATGCTTCCATAGATTTCAAAAATGAACAACAGATATGTTCTGAAACAGATTCACAACTTGATTGACTTCGATATTCTACAACAACAGAATGATCACCTCAGCCACGGCTATTTTAAACTATAAAATCTACATCCAGTTTCAGAAATGTGTACTAAATTAGGTACAATTTAAATTTTGGGTGAAGTGATATACAGTTAGTTAGAATTCCGAAATTTTGAATTAGGATCACTGTGGTGGTGCAGGATTGGTGTTTGTAGGAAGTTTTGGAAATTGGTAATTATATGTACTATATTTAGTCCCATTTGAATTAGGGGGGAGCAGATGGAGGTGGAACTGAAACTTGGATTTAGGATCACCGTGGCGGCGTAGGATTGGTGTATGTAGGAAGTTTTGGAAATTGGTACTACTATGTAGTAAATTTGGTGCAATTTGAATTTTGGGTGAAACGATAGAGTTGGAATCCTGAAATTTGAATTTGGAATCATGGTGGGGGTGTAGGATCGGGGTATATAGGAAGAGGTGGGTACTTATGGAAATAATGTGTGCTAAATGGAACTAAATTTGGTAAAATTTAGATTTGGGTGAACCTTTAGAGCTCGAATCATAAAATTTTGTACTAAATGGTCCTAAAATTTAATTGATTTTTTTCTGACATATGCAGGCTTTTAAATATTCCCCACATTCGCTAACGAAGTAATCCTCTAATAAATCTTAAAAAATATATCTAAATCTAAAATCTTCGCTAAAAATATCAGTATCCGACACAAATTTTGGTTGTTAAAAATATTTTTTACATTCCGCTCTTCTAAAGACTAACATATTCAGCCTTATTCTGGACATTACCGCCTTGGCCAAGTTGGACGGAAACAACGACCGTGTAACATTCAAAGGTAAATTCTTCCCCAATATTGAGGATTTGGATAACTGGCATTATCATTAAACATTTGCAAGGTTTGATGATTGACACTTCGGTCAGACCACCAGCATTGGCTCCTCAAACACCCACCAAGTGCAAGCAAGCTCCCCCAGTTGATATTGCCAAGGTTCAGTCACCATCCAAATACAAGCCGGGAAACCGCCTTGGCCGGAAACAACGACCAAGGCAATTGCACCTTGGATGGTGATATGAAGAACTCAACATTCTCCCATAAATTGATCAAAGCCTCCCCGAACGTTACATTGAATACTTTATTGCAGAACAGAATTTGATACCATTTGTGCTGCTTGCCATGATCGTACCATTGCCTTTGCCTCGACCTTTGCCACGTTCTTCAACCGTGCTTTCGATCAAATTTGTATGGGTGCAATTTCCCAAACTAATGCCAACTTTGCCGGCTCCCATTGCGGTGTCCGCATTGGTGAAGATGGTTCATCTCAATGTGATACAGAAGATGTAGCCATGGTCCGTACTCTACTTTAAGCTTTATGTCACTTTTGGAGCTGTTACTAATACATTCCAGCAAATTCCTATGGTCAACAAGGACATTGTATTCACTGTGTTATTAAACAATTTTTTAATGATCTGATAGATTTCTTTATCGGCAATCATTTACGGAACTTCAATCTAAAATATTTGTTTCAGGAATCCCATGGATTTTCTGGTGGATCAATAAAGAACTTCGGTCCTACAATTTCTTATTGTTGACATTTGTAGATATGTATATGTGCACACCACACACATCTTTAAAAACACATGGTTCTTATTCTGCAATTGTTCAATGAACTTGTTTCACTTAGAAACCCCATTATCAAGAAAAAAAAACTTGGTTGACAACCGAAGCGCACATGTTTTTAGATAAAAATAAATCATTTAGAGTAGCAGGAAAATTTTGGCTTTGACTGACTACTACATGTGGAGAAGCCATACATTATTAGAGGTACATTCACATTTTAAGGAAATTTCTGATATTTACAGATGTATGCCTTGCTCCATAAAGACATTTATTGGTAAATGTTTCCATTTACTTCTATATATGATTCATGTAAAATCTAATGCTTAAAAAAATTCATATAAAATATTTTATTGCACTAACAAAATATCTGTGATTTACCAATGATTTTTTCATAAACTAAATGATTATAGTTCCCCTTGTTTAACTGGAATGTACTGCTTTCAAATTTTTTACAATTAGTACATTGTGCTTTTTCATGATCACAAAACGTGAATTGCATTGCAGATTAAATGGTGACGCGTTAACCAAATAAATAAAATAATACCACTACAATTTTGAAAAAAAGTGCATGCTCACTCTCTCCATTCCAGTCAAGACCAAATAAAGAATGATAGCATGATAATTGTAATTAGCCGTCTTCTCTCCTAAAGCCAATTATTATTAAAAAATTGAGTTGTTTGGGAATAGATCAAAAACAATTGCAGTTCCGCTCCATATAACACAGTTTTTTCGCATTCTCTTTTGGCTTGTCGTCGTCATCGATTTGTAAAGTCATTGAATTAAATATAGGTAATCAATGCAGCGAGCGACAGCAGCAGTTGTCTAGGAAATACTTGAACTGATTATAATTATTGATAGTATATTTGTATGATTGGTTGTTTTTATAGGCATATAATCAGGCGATTGTTTTTTTTTTGTTATATTAACAAAAGATTTTTATTTTCTGTGTTTGTTTATTAACTAAAAATTGATTTGGTGTGAAATTTCCGGGAGATATAATACTGGAACAAATATTAATTTGATTTCGAATCGAATAAAAAGAGAATATACCAAATATGCCACTTTAGCAGAGCTTGTGAGATAATTTACCAAAGTCAAATGTTTAAATTGAAAGGCGTTTACATTGACCTAGCACAACATCTTGCGTTTATCGACTATTTTATGAAAATCATAAATTGACTATTTTATTTGCTCTGGTTGATTAACAAACATTGCATTTAGTCTATAACAAATAAGTTTCAAATCTGTTTATAATTGAACGAAAAACTAATTTTCTACACAAACATTTGTATTTAAAAATTATTCCCCTAAAATATGAAACTAACCTAGGAAGCATGGTATAATAATAAAAGGTAACAGCAAGTGTTGTTGTACAACAAACGATACAACAACCACATGGAAATTTGTTGTTGTAAGTTCTACTAGTGTCAACTCTTTTGACAGAAAAATGTAAACAAACAAACAAATTATCATCAAATTATTTTTATTTTGAAAATGAAATATTTTTGAATCCACAAAATAAAAATTGAAAAACATGAATGAAAATATATCAAATTTATATTTCTATCGCTTCCACATCTTTACTATAATTGAGCCATTGCCATTTATATGTGTAACACATATGCAAATGCTGGGAATAGCGAGTTGTTCCTTGAAGAAAGATTTGCTTCCTCAAACGATCCCAGCAGGCAGATTGAGTAAATTGAATACGGGAGGACATTTAATAAAGAACAATTTCGAATTGTTCCCAATTTTCCTGTTGGGTGATTTTTAAAAACATAATTTGTCAAATTCATATTGACACTAGTATTACGTTGAAATCAAATCAGCTGGGATTTGCTGTTACCTTTTATAATTGTACCATGCCTAGGAAGTAAAAAATTTTAATTTTGCTAAACGATTCACTGTGATCAGCTTTATATAGGCCATTTTTGTATTTCATATTCCAAAACAAATGACAAAAAAAATTGTTGAAATGTTATCATATATGTATATTATGTGTGGTGAAAATATAGTTATCTCCTGAACAACAAATATGGTGCTATCGCTTAATCAAATACAAAAACCATAATAAACTTTCTAGATAAACATAATTAACAATTTTATATCAATGTTGAAAAATGTGGTTTTGTGGGCAGTCGTACGATTTCATTAGGTAAATTTTCTAGCAATTTTGCATGGGAAGATAGCAGATAGTTTGGAATTTATGCATAGGAAAAATATTTAAATTCCTGTCGTAGTTACTAACTACTTTTTAGGAAATCTTCGACTTCCGACTATTTTTACTTGTCGTTAATTTCGCCCTAGACCAACTAATAATACTCTTCAAAATTTCTTAAGAAGATCGGGATTTTTATATGTATAGGTTAGGGATGTACGGTTGTTAGTAACAACCGTCCACTCGGAGACGATTGTCCATTGCGATCATCCTTTACACCTCAAAAGAGAACGGGAAGAGAAGAGAGAGTGGAAAAGAAAGAAGAAGATAGTAGGAGAAGGAGAGCCTAGAGGTGGTTATTTTAGCCATGTCAGATTGTTGACAAAGCCTAGGATCTGGTTGGGGTCTATTTTAGAGAAGAAGGCTAGGTTATAAATTTCATATCTTCCAAACTGTTTATGTCTTCTACCAATCACTGATGGAAATCTGCAGAGGATATGTTCTATTGTTTCTAGCTTTTCTTTGTCCTCACATAGACGAAAGTAATCCTCTCCGCTGGAGTCCCATTTCGAAGTGTGAGATTTATATGTATGCATGCTATGTCATTGTAAAATGTCTGCTAGTAAGTTGTCTGGGAAAATTAAGTACTACATTCTGATAGGCAACGTATGGAAAATTAAGCGAAATCAATTTGTGTGGGACTATTAAAAAAAACAAACACATATTTTGAAGATTTTCTTGAATGAAGTATTCACCCAAGAAAATGGAAACACAAGACTCAGATAGAAAAACTTTGCTGGGAACTTTTGAACTTACCGAAAATTTTTCGGGACCAATGCATTTTTAACATTTTCTGGGAAAAAGTTTTGTATTTAAAGAAATTGGATTTACAAATTACAACCACTTCGGTAAGAAAATGCGGCTAAATCGGTAAACATATCTATGAGGATTTATTTGGCATGTATACAATGGAATTTACAATTGAAACCCACTGGGTTAACGAAATCCGGTACAATGTAAACGTACTATAAGCCCTTTACGATCAGATTTAAATTGGACATCTTCACAATTTCATAAAAAGTATAAAGTTGTCTTTTAAAAATTATAAAGATCTCATCTAAAATATACTCAAAGAATAAATCTTGATTTCAAATTATTAAAAATCCTACAATTCCATCACAGTACAACAAAACACTATCTCTCAACACAGGGTTTGTTATCTGTTCATTATTTTTTGTTGAAGACTGTTCCCATACAAAAAAACCAACAACAACAAATTGGAGGTATGGCAAAACAAACATACACACATATCTACAATAGAACAAACAAAAACGAAAAAAAAAAACAAAATAAATAATATTCAATATTGGAAGTTAGAATGGAGTGAGTTTTCTGTTACTATACTCAAATGTAGCCAAGGTCAGGTAAGGTCATCACAAATACTGATTACATCAAAATCTTATAAAAAAAACATCGAATTTCATCATAGATTGGAGGAGGATATTTCGTTAAAAACACGACTTGTGTGACAAATATTCCATCGTGAAAGAACATGTTTTGTACTCGCTTAGGGGGGCGCACAGCATGCACAGAACCACGTGTTTTACTCAAATCATTGCCAATACATTCGAAATTTTGAAATGAAACAAAAATTGTCATACACATTTTCAATGTCGATTGTAAGTCTTAATATTTGCTCGTTTCTAGTTCAAGGGAAAACTACTTTTCCCTCTAGAACTTTGAGTTGTTTTCTATTTTATTTGCATTTGCAAAATAACCTCTACAAAATAATGCGAATTAATAAACGATTTAATACGAAACAAACACAACGACGAATACCAATCATGATTACGCTCGCACGCTCACCACCAACCACTTGGATTTTAACTTTTGGAAACCAATTTATATAGACGACACATTCTAAAATCTATATACACACGCATACACACTCACTAATGTGGATACATGGGGAATAGATGGTTGGGTCACAAACTTACCCGGATTTGGAGGCCTGAGTTGAGGTAATTGAATGAATACGCAAACGATGTGCGATATCTTTCAATTCTTGGATAGCTTTAGCTTCAGGCTTGTGGTAAGACATTTTTGTAATTTAGTTTTGTTTAGACACAAATTTATAGAAAAAAATAGGTGCACTTTGTTCTAAAAAATTAATTGCAAAAAAAATGTGTTGTTGTCTTTTTTTGCTGTTAAATGCCAACGGATGTTCCTGAGCTGCTTCGTTGTTTAGCGGCCGGCTTTCGAAAACCAACTGACAAAATTCAATTTTAATTCAACGTTAATAGGCGGCTAATGGCTGCCGCCAAATGGAGTGTGAGTGTGTGTGTGTGAGAGAGAGAAAAAGAGTGCAATTGCTAGAGCGAGTAAAATTGTACAACAGGTTTATGACAATAGGGATGCCAACTCATCGATTTAATAATTTCAAATTTACGTTTGCATTTGGTCTGTTGCCGTACTGCAATGAACCAATTAATTTATACTACTCTTTATACCCTCCACCAAACTGTGGTACAGGGTATTATGTCTTTGTGCATATGTTTGTAACAGGCAAAAATAATCGAGATAAACACATGGTTCCTTTTGAGAATATGCATAGAATCACTTTCTGAGTCTATTTACGCCTGTCCGTCGGTCCATTTATTTTTTTTAAACAATGTACAGGTCGCATTTATGCTCCGATTTGGATGAAATTTGGCGCAGCTCACTTATTTGGCCCATGGACAAACCCTATTGAAATTGAAGAAAATCGGTTCAGATTTAGATACAGCTCCCGCATATAGTTTCGTCCGATTTAAGGTAAATGGGGCACCGAAGTCTCTATATATCATTCGAAATTTGGCACGGTGTACTCAATGGAGTCTAGAATGACGTGTGTTAAGTTTCGAGAAAATAGGTTCAGATTTAGATATATCCCGCATATATAGTTTTGTCCGATTTTAGGTAAATGGTACACCAAAGTCCCTATATATCTTTCGATTTGCGCGAAATTTTGCATAATATACTGAATTGAGGCTAGAATGATGTGTGTCAAGTTTAGAGAAAATCGGGTCAGATTTAGATATAGCTCCCATATATATATTTTCGTCCGATTTAAGGTAAATGGGGCACCGAAGTCTCTACATATTTATCGATATGCACGAAATTTTGCATAATGTACGTATACGCAATGGAATTGACGTTTGAGATCGAGTGGATTTCGTAGTCTAAACGTTGCCTAATTGTTTACACGTACCTTTATTCATGGTCTAAATGTCAATCAGCTGATGTTTTGTTTGAAAATGAGAAGAAGAATTACAATAATTGAGATATTTTCCCAATGCTGGGATCGCTTGGAAAGTTAAAAAATCACCTGAAACACACAAAAATTCTATAAATAATTCATTTTCCTTTAAGTTTTTTATTTTTGCATTTGGCAACCGTAAAATATATGAACAAACAATATGTGAAAACAGTTGCAAATTTTGGTACATTGTGAGAGAGTTGTAATTTTTCGTACAAAAACCGCGTTGGATCTCATTAGTATCGTGATTTCGATCATGATTTAAAATAAACCCTGCCGCACGATGATTTAAATTTGTATGATAAATCGTGGTGAATTCAACCTGATTAAGAAAATAAACTTAAAGTACATTTACATATACGATTTTAAATCGACTCGATTAACGAAATCCAGAAATACACCCTAATTGTTTACACATACCGATAATCATGATCTAAATACGGATCAGCTGATGTTTGTTAGTATACATACAAAATTATAAATTTGCTGCAAAAATGTTTGTTTGCAATTTGAACATGAAACGAAGAATTACAACAATGTAAATTTTTTTGAAATGGTGCGATCGTTTGGAAATTTTAAAAAACAACGAAAAACACAAAAATTCTATAAATACTTGTTATTTAATTTTTGTATTTGGTAACCGTTAAATTTAAAAACAAACAACATGTTAAAAAAGTTGCAAATTTTTGTACATTGTGAGAGAGTTGTATTTTTTAGCACAAAAACCGCGTTGCATCTCAGTAGTATCATGATTTCGATCATGATTTAAAATAAACCATGCCGCACGATGATTTAATTTTGTATGGTAAATCATGGTAAATTTAGCCTGATTAAGGAAATAAACCCTGATTCGTCCTTTAATCATGATCAAATGTTATATGTAAATCCGCTTTTAAAGTACATTTACATATACGATTTTAAATCGACTCGATTAGCGAAATCCAGAAATACACCCTAATTGTTTACACATACCCTTAATCATGATCTAAATGCCGATCAGCTGATGTTTGTTAGTATACATACAAAATTATTAATTTGCGCCAAAAATATTTGTTTGCAATTTGAAAAAAAATTACCACAATGGAAATGTTTTTGCAATACTGTGATCGTTTGGAAAGTAAAAAAAAAAACACCTAAAAACACAAAAATTCTATAATTAATTTTTATTTTCCTTTGATCTGTCATTTTTGTATTTGTCAGCCGTTACATTTAAAAACAAAGGGCATGTCAAAACAGTTGCATATTTTGGTACAATGTGAGAGAGTTGTATTTTTTCGTACAAAAACCGCGTTGCATCTCAGTAGTATCATGATTTCGACCATGATTTAAAATAAACCCTGCCGCACGATGATTTAAATTTGTATGATAAATCGTGGTGAATTCAATTTGATTAAGAAAATAAACTCAGATTCAGCCTTTAATCATGAATAATGTTATATGTAAATCCGCTTTATATAAAACTTAATTTATTTTTAGGATTTCGTAAATTCACATCATAAAAAGTGCGTGTGGAAGGCTACGTTTATACTACTAAATACACTCGACCTCAAACGTCAATTCCATTCCGTATACGTCACGTAAATCCAGTGGATTATATTTGACGTATACGCAATGGAATTTCCATTTGTGATCGGGTGGATTTCGTAAATCTAAACTTACTTTAAATGCGCTATTAAACGGGAAAGTGTTCTTTATCAACTGCACGTTTACAGTAACCATACTGTATGTTTACGATACGTTATGCAGTAATTATCGTTAATAGTGTCGTAGAAGGATTTGTTCTTATTAGATTTTTATTAATTAAAATATAAATTCATAAAATAATAAATAAATTAAATTCATATTGAACCCAACTTAATAAAATTATTAAAATAAAAGCTAAAGTTCTGGAATCATGTGTAAAAATCGGTATGCATGCAATAATGCTAACGTGTAAATACAATCACAATTCGAAGTTTGTAGCCCTGGTTGTCACAGTCAGTTGCTGCTGTTGTTGTTGCTTCAAACGTATGGATGTCAATCGCTTGCTGTTGTTTTAGATTTTGTATGTGGTCAGTTTCGGTTTCAGATTCGGATAGTACGTGATATATCTTTATGCATTGGCAAAGTGCAAATAATAACAATAATATGAATGTTTATTTGTGTTATTCTCTTTTTGTGCAAAATATTTTTTGTTGATATAAAAAAAATCTCATTTAGACATCCAAAAATAAATAAAAAGGTGTGAAGTGTATTTGTGTGTGCGTCTGTTTTTTGGACGAAATCAATCACAACAAAGAAAAAAAAAAACAATAACAATAACCTAAAGAGGAAGTTAAAAGAAAAAAAAAAATAACCCAAAAATGCAATCATATAATGATTGGGAATATATTCGAGGTCTGGGTGTAGGTGGTTTTGGAGAAGTCCACCTGTGGCGGCATCGTATTACAAATCAGGAAATCGGTAAGCAACAGCAAATCAAATTTTGGAAGAATAGTGTTTTAATTTTTCATAGATATATTCTAGGTAAGAAAGAGAGCGAGAGAGGGGAGAAAACAAATTACAATCTTTAAAACGATTAAAACGATTTAAAACAATTAAAACGAATCGAAATTTCCAATCAATCAGGATAATCATGAATTTGTTTTGTTTCCAGTCTTTTGATTATAATATTTGCTTATATCTACAATCCAATCTACTAAAAAAACTGAACATAAAAAAGTGTGTCTGAGACTTCGGCGGCAAGTGTGTTTATTGGCATGTGTGATTCACTTGAACTGTTGAATTCCAAGAATTGCACTGCGCTGTTGTTGTGTGTTGTTTGTGGAATTGCTATTGTTGTTATTATTACTTAAACCAAATTTTATATTATTTGTGTATTTGGTGGGGTTATAAATACTATATCTAGCAAAAGTATAAGTAGCTTCTTCCGTTAATACTTCACCTTTTAGAGGGACATATTTTGATTTATGTACACACAATAAAATGAAAATTATATTAAATATATGAATTCGAAGTGTTCATCAAAGGCTCCACAAAATGTATATTCTTGATAAGATTGTCTCATTTAATCTTAATCGATTGTCATATAGACTTTTGAAATTTTGCACATATTTTGATATTCCTCCAAGGGTATTCAAAATAAAATTTTCTTTTTTTTTTTGTACAGTGTAGTCCCACCATTATTTTTGTTAAGACTCTAGCTGCATACTTCAAGTGAAAGTTTTTAATTTGATATTTCGGTTTCTTGGTGGATAAGGAACATCTTCTCAGAATATTTTCAATACGGGTCCATATTTTAGCAATCCAGTATGCTATGCCAAATTTCGCGCAAATCGAAGGACATATAGAAACTTTGGTGAACTATTAACCTAAAATCGAACGAAAATATATATGGGTGCTATATCTAAATCCAGAGCGATGTTCACGAAACTTAACACACATCACTCTAGACTTAATTTAGTTCGCTATGCCAAATTTCGTGCAAATCGAAAAATATATAGGGTCTTTGGTGCACTATTTACCTAAAATTGGACGTAAATATATTTGTGAGCTATATCTAAATCTGATTTTCCCGAAACTCACTACTCATCACTCTAGTCTTAATTTAGTACGCTATACCAAATTTCGTGCGAATCGAAAGATATATATGGGGGCTTTGGTGCACCATTTACCTTAAATCGGACGAAAATATAGGGGAGAGGGGGGCACCTTTGAACGTGGGGCACCTTTGAACAGCGCTCATAAAATCTTGGTGTAATATTTTTCCGACCCGCAACCACATTTTTGTATATGGCAATCTTGTTCTCTATATGCGTAAACCACTTTGGCTTGCTTTTTCAGTTGTCGAAAAATTGTGCATGGGTGACCATGTTTTCTCAGTGTCATTGTAAACTTTTATTCATTGGTTGTAAGGGCGCAGGAAGAATTCTGTGATAGTTTTCTTTCGTCAAACACATTTTTTTGCATTCCAACAATAATTTCAACTTTTGGCTTCGATTTCTCAAAATTTCAAATGGGATAATAAGACTACGAAATTAACTGTATTTTTCACCATATTAATTTTTGTTTTTATGTCATTTTATGTTTTAATAACTTTTGATCTAAATTTTTTAAATTTTGAACATTTTTTATATATTTTTTAATGAAGTAATGCATTTCTGATATGTATTAATAAAATAAATATATATTTAAACATAAACACTGTAAAAAAACACGTCGTTCAAAAAGATGATATTATGCTTAGATATGACGTTTAGAAACAAGTCCACCTCCCGCCAGACCAAACTCACACACTACAATACGCTGATACTTCCCGTGCTGTTGTATGGATCAGAAGCATGAGTACTTGCGCAAGCAGATAAGACAGCTCTTGGAGTGCTTGAGAGACAAATTATCCGAAAGATCTATGGGCCTATCTGCGTTGATGGTGAATATCGCCATCGAATGAATTATGAGTTGTAGCATCTATTCTCGGACATCGGCATTGTCAGACGTATCGAGCTGCAGCTTGTTGGGAGAATAAATGTTCTGTCACAAGCCAGCTAAGTAAGTATGAAGGTACAAGCTGCATTTTCCAATCGAAAAATATGAAGAATACCATCAGTTATTCCATGAATAAGAAGAAGATTTTCAACTCTTCTTTGAAGAGGAAGGCCTTCAGACCTTCTGTGAAGAAGACCTTCAGACATTCTATTAAGAAAAAGAACCCTTTAAGACCTTCTGTGAAGAATACCTTCAGTCATTTGTATGAAGAATAGGGCCCTCTATTTAGAAGAATATCCCCTGCTCTTCTATGAAGAATAAGAGTTCCAGTTTTTTATGCAGAATAATACCTTCATTTCATTTATGACGTTGAAAATTTTTAACTTTTCAATGAAGAAGGTCTTTAGCTATCCTATGAATGGGCCTTCAGCTCTTCTAAGAGGAAGGAGATTTTAAATTTTTCTATGAAGAAGACCATCAGGGCTTTATTTTTGAAAAATACCTGCTATTCTATGCAGATGACCTCCTCTATTAACGACTTCATTTAAGAAGAAGAACATCTTAAACTCTTCAGCTCTTCTATTGATGTGTCTCTGTCTCTGTTTACCTTTTGAAAAATTACACCGGTTTTTTTTAGTCAAAAATTATAATTATTGATATCAATAAAAAAATAGAAAACGTGTCTCTCGCAATAATCTTAATACAATATAATAAAATTTTGCATTTCTTGTTTGTTGATTTCTGATAAGTGTTCTTCTTCTAATTCTCCTCGTGTATGCATCCGATTGACTGACTGACTATTTGCTAAACATTCATGAATCATCTATGAAACTATAATGGGCTTATCACTTTCACACACACACACAATGTAATTAAACCGGCGTTTTGCATTGCAATTTGCCCAGGCCCCTCCGCTCACTTCCCTTGAGATCACATTTTAATAACAATATAAATGCTAGTTTATATAATTGTTAAACAAGTATTTGATTTAATCAAAAATATGAATTTAGAAATTTAACAACAACAATAATGTGAGTGGGAAAATGGAAATCCCTTTTGGGCTTTTTTGTTTCGCCACTGTGCCGGATATCAACACTAAATGTTATTTTAAGAATTTTTTTCTGTCTCATCCAAATGAGAAACAAAAAATATTGTTTTAAAAACACGCAACATCTAAAAATATAGCACACACAAAACTGTTGCTATCAATTTGGCAGTAGGCCAAAGTTTTCGAAAAAGTAAAAGAAAAGAAAATTGCCGGTACTTTATAAATACAAGCAAAAAAGTGCATTTTGAAATTGTGTGTAACAATAAATAGTTTTAAATCCGCAATTAAAGCAGATAATATTGTTGCAAAACCTCTTATCGCTTTGATTAGACAGCCAAAGAAGTAAAGAGTTTACAGTTTGATAATTTTTACTGTTATTTATATTTCTAGGAATTCGATGTTAGGTGATAGATTATTTGGGCATGTTGGCCCACAAGCGAATTTTTATAAAGTTTTATTTTGTTTTCAATAAACTATTACAGAAGCAATGCCAGTAAAAACTGGACATCATTTAACTAAGTAATACTGACACCAATCCTAAAGAATATTTTATAAAGTCCACATATAATCCAGAAAAAATATTGTTTTTTTTTTTTTTAATTTAATGGGCCCTAAAAAGGATTCTTTATAAAATCCACCAGTTTAAAAGTTATTTAAACTCCCTATTTTTGAATGATCCCTGAAATATTTTTTAAAATATCCATCCCTTTTTTATGGTCCCTAAAAAAACGAAACTTAAAAAATTTACTTCTTTTGCTGGTCTCTGAAGAAATTCTAAATAAAATCCCACACCTTTAGATGCACCATAAAAATATTCGTTAAAAGTGAATTCCTTTTGATCATTGATCACTGAAAAAGAACAGTAGGTCGTAAAGTCGTACTGGGCCGACTATATGATACCCTTCACCACTTTGGGTATATTCTACATATGCATCCTTACAATTCCTTCGAGGGAACATTGATATGAAATTGAAATAAATATATGGGAGCTATATCTAAATCTGAACCGATTTTCATGAAACTTAGCACACATCATTCAAGACTTAATTCAGTGCGCTATACAAAATTTCGTCCAAATCGAAAGATATTTAGGGACTTTGGTGCATCATATACATTAAATCGAGCTATATCTCAATCTGAACCGATTTTTAGGAAACTTGAAACATACCATTCCAGACTCAATTCAGTATGCTATGCTAAATTTCGTGCAAATCCAAGGATATATAGAGACTTTGGTGCACCATTTCTATTAAATCGGGCGAAAATATATATGGGAACTATATCTAAATCTGAGCCGATTTTTCTCAATTTCAATAGGGTTCGTACTTGGGCCAAATAAATGCCAAATTTCATCCAATTCCAATCCAAAATGCGACCTGCAACATCAACAGATGCACAGAAGGGCGTACGGACATGCATAAATCGACTCAGAAAGTGATTATATGCATATTCTCAAAGGGAACCGAACAACGTGTCTATTTCTTAACTTCTGTCTATTTCTATTTCTTAACTTCTCGGTTCCCCCAATGTTTGGAATTTTTATTAAACCTGCCTGGAGAAAACGAACCAGACTCTCGGTTCGTTTGGGCCTAGAACATACCAAAATTAATTAAAATACCAAACATTTGGGGAAACGGGAATTGCCACTCAACGATAACTCAAAAATACCAAAGTTCAGCCAAATCGATTAAAAAATTTACCCAGAATTTCCAAAATATAGAATGAAGATGGGAACAGTTTTATAAAAGCTTCCCCGAAACTTGGGTCATTATTGATATTGTTTGTTTTGTTTTCGATTGGAATATTTTCTAACCTATTTGAATCCAAAATACTAAATTACACCCTCTAGTATCAATATTTTTCGGAATTCGTAAAAACAACAAAAATCTCAGTATTATTTTGCGAAAAAGTCATAAGATGGTACACCATTTTAATATCCATTTTCGTAGAGGGCATAAAAATGTTTCTAAATTTATATATTTTTTTTACAAATTGTAACCCGATAAAACCCAGATTTAAATTTAATAAGACCTTATACGGAATACTTTTGGTTGGGGTACGCGATGTTTCGAAAACAATATTTTTTGCGAATGTGTAACCCTTTTGAGAATCTCAAAATAGATATGGCTACGCTCAAAAATATTACACTATGGTTACGAGATTCTTTATCAATGTAAAGAATCATATCCGAACTTATTCCTATTTAAATGCTATTTTATTCAATTCTTTTCTCTTAGAAATAACGAACCTTATTAGACCGTATAGAAAAAGAAGATTCGAAGGCGGTGATTGTCGGAATCTGGTGTAGGAGGATTTGTTTTATTAACAACATTACGGATACGAATGATTTAAGATTCCTGTTATACCTTAAAACACCTTAAACCATCATAAACATCTTGGGGTACACTAGCATATAGCAAAGAGCATTTGTACAGATTGGATTTTGGTTTTAATATATGCAACGAAGCTCTCATTAAATAGAAGCCCTATATGAAAATGCTTTATTATTTTTTCCAATAACACAAAACTCTCATATACTATTTTGTGATTATGTTGTGGTCACTTCATGAAAAATGCAACGCCGAATATTATAAAATTTTACACATATAAACAATTAATACAATTTCTAAAATAACTATTTTTTTGGAACTTTTTCAGTTTTGTGCATTGTTTCAGAATATCTTTTGTTTTTGGATTAGGATTGAATGCTCATGAAACAACAATAAACAAATATCATAATTTCTTTGCTAAATCCGGTCAGTTGATATTTTCTTTTTTTGAAGCCCAGATAAACATTCAATAATAGCAGAACTCGATTTATGTTTAACCACAAAAAATAAACATTTTATTCTTAAATGTGTTGATGAGTACAGAGTCAGTGCAGACAGCCGCCTTTTCAATTCATTTTTATTGTTTATTTTCTGTGGTTAAAACTCACACCAAACGACGATCAGGTCATGTTACAGAGAACAAAAATAAATTTTAATTAGTTTTTTTTTGATAGGTTTAATATGAGAGCTGCTCAAAAATAACAGCTGGACTGGCTGAAATATATGAGTATGAAGTCATAAATATTAGAATTTAGTTTTCAAAGAAAAAAATTCATTATTTTTACAATAGTCATAAAAATCTGAATTTTTGAAACTCTCTCATGCGCATACCAAATTTCTTCAACATTAGCTTCAAATATTATGAATTATTTTTTGTTGTTCTTGTTTATGTTATTTTATGAACATAAAGGAACCCATTTTATTTTGGGTTTCATAAGATAGATTCAAAATTTCACTTCGAGAAATATTAATATTAATTAATATGTTCAGGTCAGAATAGAATTCTATGTCGATTAAGGCATATCTGTTCGCCTGTTGTTGTCATATGTTGCTACTACTACTTCCAGGGTCATTAGTATTCAGAATGGAATATATCGGTTCACGTTTTGAAATAGTGACCAGTTTTAAAATCACTGTAATTATACACAACATTTTAAATATAGCTCAATGTATTCTACATAGCCCCGATATGAAGGTCTCGTCTTATTTATTCTAGGCACTTTTTGTTACCGTAATTTGGCATTCTTGCTGGGCAAACAAAAAAAAATTTCTTCGGAGAATATTTTCGATATGAAAGGTCTTCATGTTTAATTTTCCAATTTGGGTTTCTAAAATTTGGTATTTCGAATTATTTTCAGATCATAAAAAACCCTCCAGAATGCCTGTCACATGATGGTGGGTATAATAAGTTTCGGAACGTCAAAACTTAACAAAGCTATTTTATTCGAACTTACGCTATTCAGAAACGCCCCCCCTTAACGTTTTTTTCTTGAAAAATACAAACAAAAGATGTTTTGAGGTCTTCTATGGACAGTAGAATTTTGTCTATCGTTAGAGTATTTCTTAAGTTGTTCTAAACGCTGAGTATATGTTGAGGTCATCTACAGGTATCGTATAAATATATGTGAGTTTTAACCACAGAAAATAAACAATAAAAATGAATTGAAAAGCTGTCATGTACTCATCAACACATTTAAGAATAAAATGTTTATTTTTTGTGGTTAAACATAAATCGAGTTCTGCTATTATTGAATGTTTATCTGGGCTTCAAAAAAAAAAAGAAAATATCAACTGACCGGATTTAGCAAAGAATATAAATAGTCATCTTGAGGTCTTCTATACACAGGGGATCTCCAATAGACAGAAGAAAATTTTCAGCATATAGACTGAAGACCTATTGAGGTCATCTACAGACCAAGGACGTGGTATCGTATATATAGAAGTCATCTTGAGGTCTTCTATACACAGAAGTCTTTTTGAGAATTTCCATACACACAGGGTCTTCTATAGACAGAAGATCTCAAAAAGGTCTCCTATAGACAGAATAATTTTTCCAGCATATAGACAGACTAAAACCCTATAGAGGTCATCTACAGACCGAGGATGTCTTATGGTCCCCTATTGACAGAATATCTCTTGAGAACTTCTATGGATAAAAGATCTCTGAAGATTTGTATATACTAACAGAAGACTTTTTGAGACCATCTGCAGGCAGAAGACCTCTTGAGCATATAGAATGAAGACCTATTGAGGTCTTATACAGACCGAGGACGTTTTATGATCCCCTATAGACAAAATATCTCTGGAGAACTTCTATAGATAAAAGACCTCTGGAAATTTGGATATACAAACAGAAGACTTTTTGAGACCATCTACAGGTAGAAGACCTTTTCAGGTATTCTATAGGAAGACCTTTTTGTCTGAGAATCTCTCTCGAGTTAGGGAACGAATTTATATACATCGGTACTGCCATAAACAAAACTAATAACATCAGCTTTGAAATCCGGAGAGAATAGTATTGGCCAACAGATGCTACTATGGTCTGAGTAAGCAACGCCACCTCTCGCCAGACCAAACTCACACTCTACAATACACTGATATTGCCCATGCTGCTGTAATATGGATCTGAAGCATGGGAACTTGTGCAAGCTGATTAGGCGACTCTTTGGGGTGTTTGAGAGAAAAATTCTACGGAAGATCTATGGGCCAATCTGCGTCGACGGTGAATATCGTCCATCTATTCGCGGACATCGACATAATCAGACGGATCAAGCTGCAGCGACTACGTTGGCTAGGTCATGTTGTGAGAATGGATGAGGATTCCCCCACTAAAAAGGCATATAAAAGCGAGCCAAGTGATGATTCAGGCAGAAGGGAAAGGCCACGAATCCGATGGAAAGATCAAGTAGAAGACAACATTTCGGAATATGGTCTTTGAAATTGGATGAGATGAGCACAAGACCGAAGCGGGTGGAAATCTTTTTTAAGCTCGACTTATGGAACAACCTTTCTGTCACAAGCCAGCTTGATTTCTTTTTTAGAAATAAGACCTTATGAGGTCATCTGTAGACCAGAGGTATCTTAATATAGATTTTTGTGATAGGAGGTGTACTATTGGATGCCAACTTAAAATTGGTATCAGAAAAATGCCTTGCCAAATATTTTCATTCACGGACAAGCCGTTTCTTTGGCTTCAATTACCGACAAATGAAGTCAAAGAGAAACCCCTTTATTTGAGGTATTTAACAAAAATGAATTTTTCTTAGTATGGTGGAGGCATGTCCATCGGAATTTATTTGTTTCTTTATTAAATTTTGAGATATTTAGTAACTTGTTTTATTATTATTTTTGTTGTTGTGATTCATAATTTATTATTGCTGTTGTTTCTCGTCTTTTTACAGCTACGAAACTTTTGAAACCCAACACATTGCTGAGACCACACGAAGTTGGCAAATTTAAAAAACGTTGGCTTCAAGAATACAATTGGATGCATTCACTGCAGACGCCCTACATTGTGGGTGCCATTGATTTGCCCGACAAGACATTTCTCAGTTATCTACAGAATAACAATCATATGCGCGAGCTACCCGTTATAGTCATGGAATACTGTAATGCGGGAGATTTGCGTAGTCGCCTGGAAGAAATCGAACACCAAAATGGTTTGCATGAAAAGGAGATTCGTGGTATATTGCTGGCCCTGCGGCATGCTGTAGAATATCTACACAATGAATGTAATATTGAGCATCGTGATATAAAACCAGAGAATATTGTCATACATCGTGATGGTGGTGGTGGAACTATTTATAAGGTAAGAGGTTATATTTCTTATATATCTTGAAAATTTAAATTTAACTTTCTTTTGTTTTTTTTTTCAGTTAACAGATTTTGGTTATGCCCGTGAAATACCAGAAGAAACAATTGCCCAAAGTGTGGTGGGCACCCGACACTATGTCGCCCCCGAAGTTATTGAACCCGGTAGTTATACCAAAACGGTGGATTATTGGTCGGTCGGTGTCATGACGTTTGAGTTAATCTGTGGCATTCGACCATTTCTGCCCCACAAAGAATTCAAAGTGATTTTGACAGAGATTTTGGTTAAACCACCCAAAAGTATTGCCATTACCCAGGATTTGAAACCTTTCCAGCAACAAGAAAAATACCATAGTCACGATAAAATATTCCATGAAAATCTTTGTTCGCCCATTTTTATTGAACGTATTGAGAAATGGCTTCAATTGGCTTTGGATGGTAACTACAAGACCCGAGGCCACACCGAAGACCGGCTGTGTTTCTTCACCGATTTGGATTCCCTATTGGCAACGAAAATTATCACCGTCTTCTCTCTAAGTTCATATGAATTTTATCATTTCGATGCTACAACATTTGCCAATACTGGCGATTTTTTCAATCAACTTTCTCAGCAGACACAAATTAAGCCAGAACACATTTTCATAACACTACCACCATTACATCCGAAACGAATTTTGGCCAATATCCGGGAGCCAATTGATTTCTATGTGGACGAATGGTCAGATACCGGTAATCGTGATAATCCACGTGCCATGTTATATGTAACGGATGTAAAAAAACGACAATGCGACTACAATTCACATCGTAACACGATGAACTCATATAGCGCGCAATCGATAATGGAATTTTTTAAAATCGATAAACAAAAATATGACAAAGTTCCGATTTGGTTGTTGGAAGAATTTGAAAGGCGTGTCCACTATTTGTTGCAAAACGAACAACGTTACTTGGAATGCTATATACATGGGCTATATCAATTTATAATTTCCATTGAAGATGAAGCTTTTCGTATGGAAGAGAGCATTCAACGAATTCATGAGAATACATTGCGTGTGGCTGGACGGTTCCAACAATATGAGTATACAGCAAATTTATGTGCCAAAATGCAGGTAAGAAAAGGATGTATGGTTTCCCTAAAAGACCTCAAGACAGGTCATCTATAAAATATCTCAAGTGGTCTTCGGTCTATTCTATGACAACGGAAACCCTTAAGAGGTAATATCTACTTTCGTATTCTACCTAAATAAGACCTCAAAAAGGTCTACCTTTTATAGACAACCCCATGAAGTCTTACTTCTGAAGACCCGAAGAGGTCTATAAAACACATCAAAAGATGTTCTCTTCATAGTCTAAAGAAGATCTCAAGATAAGTTCTGTCTGTAGATTTTTTTCTATAGATGACGTCAAGTAGTAGTCTTTCTATCGAATATCTCAATAGGAATTCTTTCTATACAATACTTTAAGATGCCCTCCTTCTTCTTATTACACTCCAAGGGGTCTTCTGTATTCAAGGAAGCGGCTTTATATAGAAGACCTCAAGGGGCCTTCTGAAACCAGAAGAGCCCAAGGGGCATTCTTTCTATTTAACATTTTAAAATGCCATTCTTTTATAGAATACCTCAAGAGGCCCTTTTTCTATATAACGTATCTTCCTTCTGTATACGACTTCAAGAGGCCTACAGGAGACCTTAAAAGCTCTTCTGTCTATAGAAGATCGAAAAATGTCTTCCGTGTATAGAAGAACTCAATGAGTCCACGACCTTCTGTGTATATTACACCTCAAGGGGTTTTCTATCTTCAAAGGGACGTCTTTATAAAGAATACCTCAAAGGGTTTTCGGTCTATAGAATATCTTAAGACATGTTCTGCCTCGAGAGATCTTCTGCCTTTAGGAGACATCAAAAGATCTTCTGTCTGCAGAAGGATTCACTCTATGAAAAAGTCTTCTGTCTATGTTAGGCCTCAAAACTTCTTTGCTCTTTAAGTTCCACATACTTGAATTTACCTTTTCTATATTTTATTCATTAAAATATTTTCCTATTTTTTTATTTCAGAACTCACAAGTCCCTGCCGGACGGGCTAATGCATTAAGTGACAAATTGCACGTTCTGCAAGGTGAGGTCGTCTCAAAACTTAGAGAACGTCACCGATCATTATTGAGACATTGTAAAGCTCTTGCCAGTCGGGAAATACTACAATCTCTGCCCAAAGAAGATATTTACAAGCTGTAAGTAGATTTTCATAATACATATTATTTCCCTAAAAAAAACACCCTAATAAAATGTTGTATTTCTTTCCCACCATAGCAAATCATTTCGTGAATTTCTCTCCAGAACAAATCTATCCATGGCATCGAATGCCCAACGCATGAATAATTGTATTGAGGCCGTTGATAGATGGGCAACACAAACATCGAAATTTCCCAGCAACGAATTATTTGAACTACACGATGAAATTATGATCCAGTGTAGTATTTATGTGAAAATATTATCAAGTTTAGAACCCAACTTTAAGCTATTGAATAATTTGGAAAAGGAACTAGAAAGTGAAACTGAAAGAATGCTATCGATGCCGCCGCGTCAAAATGGTGAACTTATTACGAAAATGGGTAGTCTCTGTATTGATGGCGGGAATGATCTTCCTCAACCGGCACCGATGTCTCACAACAGTGTGGATTCTTTGTCATTGGTGTTGAATGGTCATTGCCAAGAGGATGTTACAAAACTCATTGAAAACATTAATAATTTGTAAGTATATAAATGATTTTGTATAACTCGGTACCTCCAATAGACGAAAAACGGTTTTTAAGTATGTTCTTCAATAGACAGAATGCTTTATATGATTCAATAGACGAAAACGTTTGAGGTGTTAATAGAACTCTTATGGTATTTTTTAAGTAAAAATCTAGTTGACGCCTTGACGCCTTCAATAGACGGAATTTGTTTCTCGGCCTTGAGACAGAGGGCCACTTGAAGCCCACACAATGTTTTTATGAACTACAAGCGTGAATTTTTTAAGAATATGTAGCGTGAATTATACGGGATACAGTAGATATTTATTTTGAGGATTTTTAAGTCTTCTATAGGCAGAATACCTCGTGAAGTCTTATATCGACAATAGACCTCTTGTGGTATTTCATAGACAAACGATCTCTTGAGATAATCTATTAACTTAAGAACATTGAGGACAATATGTAGAATAAAATATGGAGATTTTTAAAGAATATTTTGGACTGGACTATAAGTGCGACACACGGGAATTTTTTAAGGATTATTTTCTTGGACTATGAATAAAATTAGTGAATATTTTAGATATTTGGTAATGGGGTATAGTCACTTTTTTTGTAAACTGTAAATTTTAGAATAACTGAAACATGTTCTATAGTTTGCTGTTCTCAAAAAAATAAGATAGAAATGACCTGTTTAATTTATTTAAATCACGTTGAGAATCAGTACCAAAAATAAAATTTTTCATGAAATTGACTTTTTTTCGGTTGAAGTTTAAAAATAATTTTTTGTTTTACGGATGTACTTTAATCGTTATTACTAAAGCATTAAAATAATCAGTATGAACTAAAAATCAAATAATATGCGCGACTGCACCACATAATCACCAATTTGGAAAAAAAACTAGACATTTCTTCAGTAAACACAAGTTTAGGTAATGTGGTATACCTTGATTCTGCATGAAAAAAGGCCAGCACTAGACAAAATCTCATTACTATGTGAAACATTTGTACTCTACGAGAGTCTACCATGAATCACAAGGATGAAAAACAAAGGCTATGAGTTTTAACAACTTCTCCATACAAAAATTAAAAATTGCCATGTGTAGACATTATTATATAATAAAAATTAAAGTTGCACTCAATGTATCCGTTAAAAATCTTAACAGGCATAAATCTCGAGCTAATTCGCATTCATTAAAAACAATAAATTATATAAGATATCAATTGGAAGTGAAAATTATACTATACCACATTAACATCATGTGGTATACCACATTACCTGCACTTTTTTTAAAATCACTTTTTGTGGGATTTCAAATATTTTCTCAAATATCTCTTAAATTGTTAGAATAATATTATTTTCAAATTGATACATGGAAAGACAACACATGTAGCATGTTAAGTGTAAATTTTCAATTTAATCGGATAAAAAATAAAAATTTGGCAATCTAAAAACAAATGGGTATACCACATTTGCATCACCTCCTATACACAGACAGAATATCTCTTGATGTATTTTTTTGACAGAAGGTGCTTAAGAATTTTTGAAATGTGCAGAAGACTCCTTGAGGTCTTCTATTTACAAAAACACATAAGACATTCTGATGTTTTCTTTATTGGCCAAAGACCTATCATGTCTACTGATGGAAAGCTTCTTGAGACCTCTTTGAATCTAATATATAGATATAAAAAAATTAAGAATCTAAAAAACCAGGAAGTATAAGGATGTAGTTAAGAGGTTTCGATGGCTATAGAAATTCGGACTTAAAGTTTCTAATGATGCTGTAGATTAAAACAGGTTCCATAGTTAAATAGGAGCTTAGGCACGGTGGAATGTGAGCACCCACCAATCTGTGCCGCATGTAGGCCAGGACTGGACAGCGGCACAGGAGATGCTCACTTGTCTCCGTCTCCTCTTCGTCAACACAGAGTCTGTAGTAGTCAGTAACATCATGGTCCCATTTACTGGTAAAGGCCTGCCATTAGTCTGACTATCCACAAAGATAGTCACCGGTTCAACGATCTCTCCATACAGACTTTTTACCAAATCAGCTACATTCCAGATCGATTTCAGCTTTGAAAACACTACAGTTGCTATCCAGCTTGTAGGTAATCTCCAGGCCTAACCTTTCCGTCTGTATAGAAAACCAGACCGTCTAGAGGAGAGTTGCTACGTTTCCAGTCGTCTTTATTAGGAATAACGACTTCTAAATCGTCAAATCTCAGAGCTGGTGATATATTCGCTTAGTTTTACACGTTAGTCCAATGTCATACCTATCTTCGGATTACTGGTTTCGATATTTTATTTTATAAATTGAGTTGAAAAATATTTAATTTTTTATTATTTTTTTTTCTTTTTTACAGAAATGATTCACTCATGAACGTTTGGGGAACTGAATCGGATGATATGTGTATCGATGATAGTTTGCCCACAACTATTAATGATATATAAACTTAAAAAAAAAAATAAAAATACATTTATTTTTATTTTTTGTCTCAAATATGTTATAAATATTATTTAGAATGCTTACTCTTTACCCTACTCTTCCATTCTCCCTCCCTCTCTCTCTCTCTCTCTCTCTCTCTCTCTGTTTTTTCCAAATTTTCTACAAAACCAAAGATAACGTTTTAATTGCATTTTGAATTTGTTGATCAAATCCTGAGAAGACAACTGAACATAGTTTTAGATAAACAAAAAATAAAGTATCTCAGTTATCCTCCATAAAAAATTATATAAGATAAAATTTATTCTTACTTTAATATAGAAAAATCAAATATTGTTAAACTGTTTTTTAAATAAAATACGTTTATTATCTGACTGTTAGTGAGCGTTAATACTTTATAATACTTTAATTTCCTTTTTTATGTATTTATCTAGTCTTGAATATCTTAAACATATTTTAACAATCAATTCTTATTATTATTATTTTAAGATTATTTTTATAAACATTTCAATTGTTATTTCTACAAATTAATTGGTAAACTATTTTTTCAACATTTTATACCGCCCATGACATTTTATTCTACAAAATTAAAATGTACAATAAAAGTCATAAGATGGCAACAATATTTCCATCTTAATAATAACATTAGTATATTAAAAAAAATTAAACTATTTTTTGGAATATTATAGCAATTAGATTTTGTTTATATGTAAATGTGATAGACGAAAGTGCCTATATTATTATTTTTTTTAATTTTATTTTATAAAAATATACCTGTACAAAAAACATACACATATACTGAAAAATAAAGAAAAAAAATCTTTCGACAAGACAAAAACAAATATCACGTTTTTATTTGGAACTTCTTTCTTGGTCTTCTTCTACTTTGATTTTGCATAGCTTGCAATGTCAATACAAAAATTCATATTCAGCATAAATTTATTTTATTTATAAACCGCGATAATGGTGGTCATTAGACACAGTTCGCCGTCGAAATTCCGGAGAGTAATTTGTAAACACACTTAAAAATGTTAAATGGAAAAGTGTATCAGTTCTTATATGCCATCGTCTTTTTGATATTATGGAATCAAACCTCAGCTGGACCTGGCTACAGTAAAAGGGAACGATCAATTAAATTGCGTGAGTATTACTGTTTCAGAGGTCCTCTTGAGGTCTTCTTTGTATAGAAGGCCTAAAGAGGTCTTCTTTGTATGGAAGACCTCAAGAGGTCTTTTGTCCATAGAAGACCTCAAGAGGTCTTCTTTGTATGGAAGACCTCAGGAGGTCTTTTGTCCATAGAAGACCTCAAGAGGTCTTTTGTCCATAGAAGACCTCAAGAGGTCTTCTGACTATATAGAAGACCTCAAGAGGTCTTCTGTCTATATAGAAGACCTCAAGAGGTCTTCTGTCTATATAGAAGACCTCAAGAGGTCTTCTGTCTATATAGAAGACCTCAAGAGGTCTTCTGTCTATATAGAAGACCTCAAGAGGTCTTCTGTCTATATAGAAGACCTCAAGAGGTCTTCTGTCTATATAGAAGACCTCAAGAGGTCTTCTGTCTATATAGAAGACCTCAAGAGGTCTTCCTATATAGAAGACCTCAAGAGGTCTTCTGTATATAGAAGACCTCAAGAGGTCTTCTGTCTATATAGAAGACCTCAAGAGGTCTTCTGTCTATATAGAAGACCTCAAGAGGTCTTCTGTCTATATAGAAGACCTCAAGAGGTCTTCTGTCTATATAGAAGACCTCAAGAGGTCTTCTGTCTATATAGAAGACCTCAAGAGGTCTTCTGTCTATATAGAAGACCTCAAGAGGTCTTCTGTCTATATAGAAGACCTCAAGAGGTCTTCTGTCTATATAGAAGACCTCAAGAGGTCTTCTGTCTATATAAGAGGTCTTCTGTCTATATAGAAGACCTCAAGAGGTCTTCTGTATAGAAGACCTCAAGATATAGAAGACCTCAAGAGGTCTTCTGACCTCTATATAGAAGACCTCAAGAGGTCTTCTGTCTATATAGAAGACCTCAAGAGGTCTTCTGTCTATATAGAAGAGAGAGGTCTTCTGTCTATATAGAAGACCTCAAGAGGTCTTCTGTCTATATAGAAGACCTCAAGAGGTCTTCTGTCTATATAGAAGACCTCAAGAGGTCTTCTGTCTATATAGAAGACCTCAAGAGGTCTTCTGTCTATATAGAAGACCTCAAGAGGTCTTCTGTCTATATAGAAGACCTCAAGAGGTCTTCTGTCTATATAGAAGACCTCAAGAGGTCTTCTGTCTATATAGAAGACCTCAAGAGGTCTTCTGTCTATATAGAAGACCTCAAGAGGTCTTCTGTCTATATAGAAGACCTCAAGGGGTCTTCTGTCTATAGAAGACCTCAAGGGGTCTTCTGTCTATAGAAGACCTCAAGGGGTCTTCTGTCTATAGAAGACCTCAAGGGGTCTTCTGTCTATAGAAGACCTCAAGGGGTCTTCTGTCTATAGAAGACCTCAAGGGGTTTTCTGTCTATAGAAGACCTCAAGGGGTCTTCTGTCTATAGAAGACCTCAAGGGGTCTTCTGTCTATAGAAGACCTCAAGGGGTCTTCTGTCTATAGAAGACCTCAATAGGTCTTCTGTCTATAGAGAAGACAGAAGAATTCAAGACATCTTCAGTCTTGAGTTCTTCTGCCTTTAGAAGACCCTAAAAGGTTTTCTGTCTTTAGAAGGCTTCAAAGGACATTCTTTCTTTGGAGGACGTTTAAATGTCTTAATTTTTGAGAAGGCCCCAAGAAGCCTTCTGTTTTTATTATACCTCAAGAGGTCTTCTTTCATTAGAAAATCTCGAGCGGTATTCTTTCTTTAGAAGATCTCATGTGGTCTTCTGAAGAGGGTCTCAAGTGATCCTCTGTAGCATGTGATGATCGCAAGAGGTCTGTTTATTACCTCAATGGGATTTTTGTCTATTGCTCTTAATATTTTTAGCTTCCTTTTTGAAAATCTGCCATCGTTCGGATCCTCAGCTAAATAAATGTGCCCGCAATGCACTGTATTCGTTAAAGGATCGTTTAGAATATGGTATACCCGAATTGTATATACCAGCTATGGAACCATTGGTTATACCGGAAATAAAAATGAACCAGGACACCGGTGCTGTGTACATAAAATCCAGTTATAAAAATGTTGAAATCTATGGCATGTCTAGATTTGCCGTTAAGTCGCTGCACATTGATGCGAATAAAATGAAATTTACCACCACCATGCTGTTTCCCAATCTAACCATGCATGCCGATTATGAAATTGATGGTAAAATAATGATGATGCCAATGACCGGATCGGGAAGATGTAATGCCAACTTTAGTAAGTATAAAAACGGCCAATTTCTTTACCAACACACACTAAGAGTAGTCATTTTTTTTCTCCTAGCCGATGTCACCATGACCACTGTGATTTTGGGTGAGCGACAAAAGAAAAATGGACGCACCTATTTCAATGTCAAGGATATCACAGTGAACTATAATGTGGGGAAAGTTCAAATCCATTTAAATAATCTGTTCAATGGTGACAATGCTTTGGGTGAACGCATGAATGCTTTTTTGAATGAGAACTGGGATTCGTTGTCGGAAGAGTTGAGGCCATTGCTGGAGAAAGCCTTCTCTCGGGTAATACGTTCGTCAACAGATAAGTTATTTAAAGCTTATAGCTATGATGAGCTGTTGCCAAAGTAAGGAGACAAATATACGAATTTATGTTTTTAAGGTATACCATAAGGCGTGGATTTTTTAAAAAATATTTTTAAAGTATGCTATTAGGCATCGGTTTTTTATATTTTATTTAATTTCTTCTTCTTAAAACTATATAATAAAATTTTATAATAAATATATAAAATAATTAAATGCAGTATAAAATAACAACAATTAAACTAGCCATAATTTCAATGGTATTTTTGAGAAGACATTATTCCACAGACCATGGAAGATGTCAGCCAGACCCTTTTCCAAATCTGGTCTCAATTCAGCAATGACATCATTGCCATTTTGATTAAGGAACGAATTAATGGAGGCGGCCAAAATTTCATTGCCATTGAAAAGATTGTGGAGATGAATGCGCATTGAGCCGACATTGAAGGTTACCTTCATGTCATCGATGTGAATTACTTCCTGGAAAGAGAATAGAAATTAGGGATTATTTGCAATACATTAGATTAAAATAAAATTCGGAAAGTGAACTACCTCTGGAGCATTACGTAAACTAATTTTGGTATATACAGCCGTTTTGACATCCTTCAAGGCCAGCCGAACATCTCCATTGCCCACCAATGGTAATACCAAAATGTGACCATTTAAATTATATTTGGCTCGTATGCGTAGCAAGGGGATTTCCAGTTCAAAATTTAAGATTTTCTTTTCCAAATCCAAACTAGAATTGAAGGGGGTTGTTGAAGTTTTGATTTAATAATTCTTTTCAGTAAAATTTCCACTTACACAGCCCTCTTGACGGTGGCATTTGAGGGACCTCGTATTACAAGATTTTGAAAGCCACCAGCCAATATGAGATTTCCACTACCCTTCTGTACGGAAACTTGATCAATGTGCAGTGGCTCAAAGCCGTTGACACCAATTTCCGGTATACCCGTAGCCAAGGCCGGAAAGCAACCCTCAAAGAATTTTCTAAAGCATTTATCTTCATTGGGATTTTCACGAGGGCAGGTTCTTAACCAGGAGGCTGGAAGAAAGCAGGGGAAGGGTTTATTAGAATCTAGGGAATAGGGCAACTCGATGCTTTATTGTTAAATATGGTAACTATAAAAATTTAAATTACAAATATTTCAAAAATTTAAAACAATTGTTAAAGAGGAAACTAAAAATAATTCCAAATCCCGCAATTAACCAAATTTCAAAGTTCTGGTCATCAAATATTGAAGCAGGATGCATTTTTATCCGAACACTGATATTAACTTTTACTATGAATATTTGCCTTCGTGGAGCCTTTATTGTCGCACTCCAAAGAAATCATGGAAACGTCGAACACCTCCTCCCCGAACCATGTACATATATCGTGACCTAGAAGCCGTCACACTGTCCCGGATTCTTCGCAAACATTTATTTGTATCGAATTCAAAATGGCCAAAATCACGAATACGTTACGAAGCCTGCTTGCCGTTGTATTATGGAGTTGGTGGTCGTTTTATACGCCTGGAACGTGCCCCGCCGTTGGGCTTTAAATGTTCACCAAGACCCATAAACTTAAGGGAAGCACAAGCTCTTGTGGAATATGAGGAGAAATTGGCCAAAATGGAGGCCAGGCTACAAAAACAACAGGAAAAGGCTGCTGAGGCGGAGGCAAATGGTGGGGATATTAAGAAGAAGAAAAAGAAGGGTCGCATGAAATGAGGTGAAGATGTAAATTTTTATTATGTAAATGTTTTGTATCGTGGTTTGTTGTGCATGTTTAGATAATAAATTACAAAAATAGGCGTGATTTTTTTTAAGAATATTCTTTTAGGACCTTCAATAGGCTCGGATTTTTTTAAAGAATATATTTTAAGACCCCCCAATTGGCGAGGATATTTTAAAGAATATTTTTTCAAGGGCTGATGGATTTTTTAAGATTTTTTTAAGGGCTATATAAGGCATGGATTTTTTTAAAAATAGTTTTTAAGGGTATATAAAGCGAGGATTCTTCTACAAATATTTTTTCAATGGCTATATAAGGCGAGGATTCTTTTACAAATATTTTTTTAAGGGCTATATAAGGCGTGGATTTTTTTACAGAATATTTTTGAAGGACTCCAATAAGCGTGGATTTTTTAAGAATATTTATTTAGAAAGTTCAATAGGCTTGGATTAAAAAAAAATCAAATATTTTACATTCATAATTTCTTTCCTGGCACCTCATGCTGTTCTCTTCAGTTATTTGAAAAACTTCAAAAAAATAAGTTTACCAAAAAAAATTGTTGTGTTCTTTATTTTTTATTCTCCAATCAAAATCTTTGTGAAACTTCTTTTTAAGCTCCCTTTGAACTCCACAATCTCCTGCAATGCGTTTCTATCCCAATGCCAACATTAGTATTTATTGGGAATTTAATCCCTGGAATCTGTATTGTCGTGTACCACAAAAATCATGGAAGCGTCCGTCGCCATTAGAGGGCAAACATACGATAGCCTATTGGCGTGACATCAATGGAAGTCGTATGGAAAAAATCACACAGAAAAATCTACATATTCCGAATTGGTCTATATCACGAATACGATCACAGGCTTGTTTACCGCTCTATTATGGTGTGGGTGAGAGGTTTATACGTTTGGAAAAGGCTGAACCAGCTGGATATAAATGTTCACCGATGCCTTTGAATTTGCAAGAAGCTAGGGAGATCCGAAGGCAGGAGAAACAATTGGCAATGGAAGAACGTCTGAGGCAAAAGGAACATGCAAAAATTGCAAAAGGTCAAAATAAAAAGAAAAATCGATTTTTAAAATAATTTGAAAAAAATATGCTAAAATTAGATGTGATTTGTTGTAGATGTATTAAAAAAAAGAAATATGATAATATAGAATAATTAGATTTTTTTTTATAAATAAGTAAGTGATTTATTTCTAAAACAGACTGTATCAAATTTTCAAAAAATTCCTTGGTAGTACCGAGGTATGGAATCTATATGATATATATAGATTTGTTGTGTTGTTTGCATCTTGTCGAAGTTTTCGAGTAAATCCAGTACCAGCTGTCCGACATCTAAACGCTATATTTTGACGAACCAATGGAAAATTACCGCTTCGGGAAACTTTCGTCCTCTCATCCTTTTTTCAGCAGATGAACGTGATGAGTTTTATCGTACGACCAACTCCATTCATACCCATGGATGAGAGAACATATTCTTGAAGTAGAACAGGTTAGCATGCGATCGTCATAGGAAACCCGGACTAGACAACCTCAAGCATTGCCGCAGTTTATAGAGGTTCTCGAGGGTGATAAGGCGAATAGAAGTGTGATCTTTAGTACAAGAGCCCTCAAGCCTAGGTGGTACCACTACAATTTACGAAGGAATATGTATTGATTTCATCGAATGCCTTGGGCCCTGACGGAATATGTATGGTAATCCTTAATCAACTAGACGCACTCACATGCTTCCAGAAGACGGGGAAATAGTTTCACTACTGATGCCTCACAAAAATGCTATCAGGGGTGAATAGTAAACGCCGATTTCAATTCTGCCACAGTAGCAATGACACTTTAGGTGCTATTCCTCCTATCGATCAGAATCATTTTCTCATTAGCATGGATTCCGTAGTTCCGCATAGTTCCACGACAGCCTGTCACTTCAATTCTACACATATTATTAGACTGGATCAGAACAGACCGAGCAACGAATAATTATGATGGCTCTTGACCTATCGAGGCCTTCGATTTCATCAATCATGCCAGGCTGTCCGGTAATTTCTAGAAGATCAGCATCATCCTATTTTGTTTGGAACATTGTATAATCAACTACATGGAGAAGAAGATCTTCAGCTCTTCTAGGGGGAAGCAGAGCTTTATACCTTCAGCTGTTTTTCAAGTCATTCAGCTCTTCTTCAAGACATTCAGATTTTCTTTGGGGAGGAAAACCTTCTTTCCTTCTATGGCGAGGATTTAGAGAAACCACTATCCTGCTTTGAAACATTGAATAATCAACTACATGAGTAGGAAGATCATCAGATGTTCTATGAGGAAGCAGACCTTCAGCTTTTCCATGAGAACCAGACCTTCAGGCCACCTATAAGAAGCAAATCTTCAGATCTTCTATGGTGAGGAAGACCATCAGTCATTCTATAAGAAGCAGACCTTTAGCATATTTCTATGGGGAAGCAGACCTATTCTTCTATGGGGAAGCAGAAATTCAGCTCTTCTATGGTGAGAAAGATCTTCAGCCCTTTTATGAGAGCATACCTTAAGCCCTCTTCAATGGTGTTCTATGGGAGAGAAGACCTTCAGCTCTTCTATGGTGAAGCAGACTTTCAGTTCTTCTTGGAGAAGAAGGTGATGGTAGCAGGTGAGGAAAATCTTCAGCTACCATATGGGGATGCAGACTTTCAGTTCTTCTATGGGGAAGCAGATCTTCAGCTCTTCTAAAGAGGAAGCAGACATTCAGTTCTTCTATGGGGAAGCAGACTTTCATCTCTTCTATGGGGAAGAATCGAATTTGTGAATTTAAAGAAGGCTTCTGGTTGGAAGTCACTGAAACAGGCCTCTTAATTGACGCTCAACGAAGTGGCCGCGGACAGCGACATTAAAGCCGAGGAACAACAAAAAACCGATAGCGACAAAAATCTGTCTTTCGACGAAAATATGACGCAGTTTACTGACGCACAATTCCGACAACTCATCCAGGCAATGCAAAGCAATGGTCGTGCTGGATCGTACTCACATTGCACCGCTCATTAAGCAATCTCCATTCAAACACGATACATCATATCCATCTGATAAGATTACTCGGAGTAAGGATAAATACCCTAAACCAGCTCATTATGCAGACTTTCAATCTCCATTCAAACACGATACAAAGTATCCATCTGATAAGATTGCTCAGAGCCGTTTTGCAGTCCAACATAACCAACGTTTCACTGACGCCCTACGTGGAGCCTGTTACATAAAGCTCCACGAGAGGTCTTCTTTATTGGCGCCCAACATGGGGCCTGTTACAGTAACGCTCAACGAGAGGTCTTCTTTATTGACGTCCTACGTGGGGCCTGCTTCATTGACAGTCAAAGAGGGGTATTCTACAAATTCTTATTGGGCGTGAAATCTAACTACCAAAAATTCTCAATATTGGTCTACATTTTAGGATAGCACCCATAGAAGAGCTGATAGTCTTCTTCATATAAGTCTTCCTCTTCTTAGAAAATCTTAAGGTCTTCTCCATCATAATAGATTTGAAGTATTTTTCTTCTTCATATTGAATTGCCAAAATTTAGCACATACTCCTGCTATATATAAAAATTATCAAAATTTTGAATGTATAAATGTATAACCTCCTTATTATCCGTCGTGGTTTCGGATTAACCTATTTGGCTTTCATTAGGTATAAAATCTTCCTACCAAATTTTGACCATGACATAGCCCGCCATATATAAAAATTTCGAACGATTACACCCATTTTAAATGTATACCTCATGATGGAAGTTAAAAAAAGTTCGACTCGTGCGAACTTAACGATGCTTTCACTAGTTAGGATTAGATTTTTTTTTTTTAACTCATTTCACATTCAAAGTCAATTCGAATATGATATCCTTACGTCTTTCTTGTAGCTGTGGTTTGTCGTTGACGATTTCGCGGGTAAATGCCATAACATTTGCCGAATGCAGGACGAACAGTAAATAGATTTTCGGTAGCAATTTTATATTCCACAACATTTTTGAGGTTATGATTTAAAAGGCTGTAGATTTTTTTTGTAAGATTACTATTAAATTTTTTTGAGTCACTTCCTTAAATGTTGTTGCTTGCAAAAATATTTTAAGCGCGAAATCCAACCATCGTCTTTAACGGTTCAAATGTAACTGTCGCTTGGCTAGTTGGGTTTGTAAAAAATGCATAACAACAGGTAAATCCCGTAACAAAAACAAACCGACAATCTCAAAACAAAAAAAGACAAACAAACGAAAAAGTGGAACTGCCATCATGGCAAGGTATTCGGGTTTTTATTGTTTTCATACAATTTCGGTTGGATTTAAGTGGCTCTGGTTATAAGTTGCGCGGTATAAACAAACATACTTGCTGCTGACAACTTGTTTGCAACATCAAAATCCCTTATGGGCAAAGATTTTACAGCAGCCTAATTATGGGAGAGAAGAAGTGAAGTGGAGGCTGGCCGAAGATTTTGGGGAGCAGAGAATTGAGAGCTGTAACCCAAAACAAGTGAGACAATAACAAAAATTATATAAACAAACTAAGTTGCATGTCTTACTTCAGTTTGAGTAAAAAAGAAGAAATAAACTAGTAATTACCTATTATTAGTTCCACGTCCAAATCGCTCCGAAGAAGTTCGTTGCTACCATAGCCGATGGCGGCAATGTGAAATGGTGATGTTTACTTTGTTAGTTGTTTTCAGTTTTGTTTTTTTGCAACTGATGTAACAACGGAAGCTTGTCACCAGGTTTTTTGGTCTCTTCACCTCCTCCTCCACCACGGCTCCCCTCATGGAAAATCCCAACGACATTCCACGCAACCAGCAACAACCATCCCACCCCACCTCCCCTTGCCACCCAAGCAAATGAAAAGAAGTATGACCATTGCATAGTTGGCCGGTTATTTGGTATGTGGAAAATAAGCCAACATCAGCCGGAGATCTGCTTTACCCACCTTGTCCAGTCCATTCCAGCTATGGCAAATGATGCAAATGAAAATATAAACCATGACATTAAGTCACTCTGTTAATCGGCCCCAAAGACGGCAGTAGCAGCAGCAACAAACGAAAGTTGTTTTTCACCGCCCATTTATTGTTGTTGTTGTCGAATTAAACGCTAAATGTTTTATTTGTTTGCAGTTGTTGTTGTCGTCGTTGTTTTCTTTATGCGATAACTGGGCGTTTTTATTTTTTATATTTTGTTATTATGTTGCGCATGCGGGTTAACTACTGCCACATTCGTAATGATAGATTGCTGTAATGCTGAGAAGGTAATAACATGCAGGAAATTTGGTTCAATATTACGAAAAAAAATGCTTTGGGTGATTTAGTGGGGCTTTTATATAAAACAATGGAAGGTTGTTGTAGAAAAGATAAGAGGGGGTCTTTTGTGGAAAATTGGGAAACCTTCTAATGAGAGGCCTAATATTGGCGACGATCAGCAATTGATTCCAAAACAGGAACAATTTTTTCATAGAAGAGCTGGAGGTCTTCTCCACAGAAGATCCGAAGGTCTTATTCATTATAAAAAGCAGAAGGTCATCTCCCTTCTTTCATAGAAGAACTGAAAACCTTCTTCTTCATAGAGGAACTGAAGGTCTTCTTCTTCTTCATAAAAAAGCTGAAAGGCTTCTTCTTCATGGAAGAGCTGAATGACTACCTCATAGAACAGCTTTAAGGCTTCTTCTTCATAGAAGATCTGAAGGCCTTCTTCTTCATTTAATGCCTGAAGGCCTTCTTCATAGAAGAGCGAAAGGTCTTCTTCTCCATAGTAGAGCTGAAGGTCTTCTTCTCCATAGAAGAGCTGAAGGTCTTCTTCTTCTTCTCCATAGAAGAGCTGAATGTCCTCTTCTTCTCCATAGAAGAGCTGAATGTCCTCTTCTTCTTCTCCATAGAAGAGCTGAATGTCCTCTTCTTCTCCATAGAACAGCTGAAGATCCTCTTCTTCTTCCCCATAGAAGAGCTGAATGCCTTCTTCTTTTTCATAGGAGAGCTGAAGGTCTTCTTCTTCTTCATAGGAGAGCTGAAGGTCTTCCTCTTCATAGATTAAGGCCTTCTTATTCAAAAAGAGCTGAAGGCTTTCTTCATAGAGCAACTGAAAATATGCATCTTCATAGAAAAACTAAAGGTCTTTTTCTTCATAGAAGAACTGAAGGTCTTATCCTTCACGGATGAGCTTAGGTTTTCTTCTTTATAGAAAAGCAGGAGGCCTTCTTCTTTTTCCTAGAAGAACTGAAGGCCTTCTTCTTCATGGAAGAGCTAAATGTCTTCTTCTCCATAGAAGATCTAAAGTTCCTCTTCATAGAAGAGCAGAATGCCTTCTTTTTCATAATAGAGCTGGTTCATAACAGAGCTGAAAGTCCTCTACTGTATAGGAGATCTGAAGATCTTCTTCATAGAATATCCTATGTTCCTGGTTACAAAATCACTAAGTAAAAATCCCACAGATCACCAGCGTAACTTTTTTTGGACTATAAATATTAAATATGAAAATATGAAGGTTATTTGCCCTTCGGTACAGATTTATGAGATGAAATGTAGCACCTCATGAATAACAACAACAACAACTGCTACTTAATATTTTTATTGTTGACTTGACACGCGACAAGTGGAGCCTAACAAGCAGCATCGTTGTTGCAGTACCAAATACCTGGGAATTGAAATAAAAAAAAAAAAACAAGACAAGCGATAGAAAAAAACGTGACTTGAAATGGAAATTTTTTGGTAATGAACCAGTTTTGGTTACCGATCGCCGAAGTGGATTCCCAATAAGTTTTGTATTAACAGTCATACAGTAGTAATTTATGGAGGTGTGCATGGGATAGTGCAAGAGGTGATTGAACAACTGCTGGATTTTGGTACAGATCTTACATAAGTGTGTATATGTGTGTGATTAATAAATAGATGGCGCCCAAATGGGATACACAAATATTTTAATAAATTCAATATTATTTACACATCTGTGTATTGTATTATTTATAGGTGGCCCATTTTATTTTTTGAATAATCTTTAACTGTTTCATTGTTAGCCCAAACTGACCTTAACCTAAAAAATCAAACATCGAAATGTTGGACATCAACCTCTTTATTTGTTTGTCTGAATTTGTAATTGATTTTTGTTTTTTTTTATATAAATTTTGCAAGTATTTCAATTGGTGTTGTTGTTGTCGATATAACCATTGTTTTTTGTTTGGCATGGGTTCACCACTTCAAGTGATTAAGCCTCTGGGTAAATCTCTTTTATTTCCATTTGTTGGCTCAATTCCATTCGGGTAATTAACTGTGTAATATAGAGAGTTATTACGTTTCGTACCGCAGGGTAGGCAAATACAATGCCAGTAATATTTGCGAACATAGTAAAGCGGTTTTAAACAATAATTCGAAAACCTCAAAACCAAAAATACTTCTCCACAACAGATTGGCTCATAAATGAACTGAACGCCTTTGTCCTCACAAAAGAGCTGAAAGTCTTCCTCTATTTTATAGAAGATCTGATGATTTATCTATCTATTCTTTGTCACAGAAGTTCTTCTTTTTCACAGAAAATCCAAAGGTATTCTTCCTCATAAAAAACCACAAATTCTTCATAGAAGAACTGAAGGTCTTCTTCTCCATAGAAGAGCTGAAGGTCTTCTTCTCCATAGAAGAGCTGAAGGTCTTCTTCTCCATAGAAGAGCTGAAGGTCTTCTTCTCCATAGAAGAGCTGAAGGTCTTCTTCTCCATAGAAGAGCTGAAGGTCTTCTTCTCCATAGAAGAGCTGAAGGTCTTCTTCTCCATAGAAGAGCTGAAGGTCTTCTTCTCCATAGAAGAGCTGAAGGTCTTCTTCTCCATAGAAGAGCTGAAGGTCTTCTTCTCCATAGAAGAGCTGAAGGTCTTCTTCTCCATAGAAGAGCTGAAGGTCTTCTTCTCCATAGAAGAGCTGAAGGTCTTCTTCTCCATAGAAGAGCTGAAGGTCTTCTTCTCCATAGAAGAGCTGAAGGTCTTCTTCTCCATAGAAGAGCTGAAGGTCTTCTTCTCCATAGAAGAGCTGAAGGTCTTCTTCTCCATAGAAGAGCTGAAGGTCTTCTTCTCCATAGAAGAGCTGAAGGTCTTCTTCTCCATAGAAGAGCTGAAGGTCTTCTTCTCCATAGAAGAGCTGAAGGTCTTCTTCTCCATAGAAGAGCTGAAGGTCTTCTTCTCCATAGAAGAGCTGAAGGTCTTCTTCTCCATAGAAGAGCTGAAGGTCTTCTTCTCCATAGAAGAGCTGAAGGTCTTCTTCTCCATAGAAGAGCTGAAGGTCTTCTTCTCCATAGAAGAGCTGAAGGTCTTCTTCTCCATAGAAGAGCTGAAGGTCTTCTTCTCCATAGAAGAGCTGAAGGTCTTCTTCTCCATAGAAGAGCTGAAGGTCTTCTTCTCCATAGAAGAGCTGAAGGTCTTCTTCTCCATAGAAGAGCTGAAGGTCTTCTTCTCCATAGAAGAGCTGAAGGTCTTCTTCTCCATAGAAGAGCTGAAGGTCTTCTTCTCCATAGAAGAGCTGAAGGTCTTCTTCTCCATAGAAGAGCTGAAGGTCTTCTTCTCCATAGAAGAGCTGAAGGTCTTCTTCTCCATAGAAGAGCTGAAGGTCTTCTTCTCCATAGAAGAGCTGAAGGTCTTCTTCTCCATAGAAGAGCTGAAGGTCTTCTTCTCCATAGAAGAGCTGAGGGTCTCCTTCTCCATAGAAGAGCTGAGGGTTTCCTTTTCTATAGAAGAGCTGAGGGCCTCCTTCTCTATAGAAGAGCTGAGGGCCTCCTTCTCTATAGAAGAGCTTAAGGTCTTCTTCATAGAAAAGCTGAAGGTCTTCTTCATAGAAAAGCTGAAGGTCTTCTTCATAGAGGAGCTGAAGGTCTTCTTCATAGAAGAGCTGGAATATAAGAAGGTTTTCGATAGAATGTCCTCCTGGAGAAGAAATATCTTCCTACTAAATATCAAAATGTCTTCATATAGAATTCTAAAATAAAGTTGTCAATATATAAAGCCAATTGTTCGGCTAGGTGTAGCACCGAATATACAGTTTGTCTACCATTAAATTTTTATTAAATTATGCTTTTGGTTGTTGTCTAAGGTAGAATAAAAAGCTGTTACATTTGTTTGTTAATAGATGGCGTTAGTGGTGTCTGTCTTTAAAAAAACTATGTGCATAATCGCTTCCAAGGGTTATGGTAGATATATTTTTGAACCTTGTCATGTTGCTTGAAAATTAAAATAGTTCCAATTATTTTTTAAATCACATATCTCTTTTTATTGAATACTTCCCCTCTCTGGTTCTCTATTAGCATGCATACAATATATCCTAATGCTATTTACAAAAGAAACAAAAAAAGAAAAACTGAAAATCTCCTTAAAATCCAAACCAACAATTAATTCGAAACACCCGCCACTGGAGTCAATTTAAAATTTTCCAACAGTAGACCTTCACTTTTGGTCAAGGTCTGGGCCCATAGCAATGTCTCAGGTCCACAACCATTGGCTAGACCTTCAACACAGGCCCTCAGACTTATACGATACATTGTGTCGTCTTGCAGACCAGCCAATCGGAACGAATGTACATTTCCCGCCACTTCATAATCATATGCCAGCTCTTCCAATTCGACACAATTGTTTTCCTGTTTATAACTGGTATTCGGATGTGAGACATTGCAAATTTTGGGCACCGGAGCAATTTCAAAATCTTCTTTACGATAATCCTGTTCAGCTTTGGTGGCATTTAGAAATTTCGCCTGAGTTAAATAGAATTGTTCTTCGGAATCTGGAGTTGTGATAACGGTTTTTGTGACATTTTTAGGCTTGGATCTGAAAGGGAAAAACAAGGTACTTAAATAGTTGTCGTTGTTATTGTTTTTGCTTTGATCGGAACTTACACATAAATAAAATTAAACAGACCCTCTTCGTAAACAATTTGTTCGTGATTATAATAGCTCTTGTCCATCGGTATTGGACCACTTAATTCGGCATCCATTCGCGGACAATGACAATTGCCGAAGTTGCCAAATATTTGTTTGTCAAGCGGTACGGCTGTGTGGACTATGTTTGGAGGGGGAATAAAGAATAATTTTGTTATTAAGTAAGAAATTAGATTTTGATCCTGAAATGGCTTCACATACTTCCTTTGACAATTTTGTATTTTAGCAGATATTTTTTAATGATGCCGTTTGGATTACGCGGAGGCCACCAATGGATTTCCTATTGGAAAGATAAAGAAAATTAGATAGAGGGAGAATGTTTAATGTAAAGATTAATGGGATTTCCTACTGGAAGATAAGTAGTCATTCTTATTGGAAGAGCAATGTGTTTTCTAATTAGAAAATCAGAAAAACCATAGGTGTTCTAGTAAAATGATAGAATACTAAAATGAACCCGAAAAAGTGTTCTAATAAGAAGTCTTATAATAGTCTTGTTATAAGTCTTTTAATAAGAACGACATAAGAAAACATATACGTCTTCCAATAGGAAGTCCTATACGTCTTCTAATAAGAATCCCTATACATCTTCTAATAAGAATACCTATACGACTTCTAATAAGAATACCCCAATTAGAAGGTCAATATGTCATCCAATATGAAGATGCATGGATTTTCAAATAAGAAAGTCCATGGATTTTCTAATAAGATGTTACATAGATTTTCTTATAAGAAGATCAATACATTTTCAAAAAGAAGGCCAAAAAGTCTGCTTATGTAAATACCGATGGGTATTCCAATATGGATACCAAGAGTTATTCGAACAAGAAGGACCAGTGTGTTTTCTAATAAGAGGTCCAACACGTTTTATAATAGGGAGACCAATTAGAAAGGAAGACTAGTAGATCTTCTAATAGGAATACAAATAGGTCTTCCAATAGGAATACTAATAGGTAGACCGTAAGAATTTCTTATACGAAGAGCACTCGTTTATCTAATAGGATTCAAAATAGATGCTCTTTCAGGAAAAAAAATAAGTTTTCTAATAGGAAGACCAGAATGATTAATAATTCTTCTAATTGGAAGACCAACAGGTACTCTAATTGGAAGATCAATAAGCCTTCTGATAAGAAAATCAATTGGTCTTCTAATCAGAAAACCCAAAAGATCTTCTAATTGGAAACATATTTCTACTCACAATCTCAGTGGGCGACAATGAACGATAGTAGATTTTTGCCAATGGTCCCGGTTTGGCGGGTGCTGTTCGAAAATATTGTATCTCTGATGTGGCATCGACTTGATAATGAAAACTGGTCGCGGTCAATGTTTTGACAAAATATGCATATTGGGTGTAGGGTTTCAAATTACGCAAGACATGACGACGCTGTGTGGACGATGTCGAGTCCATGAACCAATTATCCAGACCACAACCATGACGGCTGTGTTTACTGATATTTCGTTTGGGGGCTTCACGATATAGAAACACATAACCGATGAGCGGTGCCAAATCTTCGGAGGTTAGATAATCGATAACAATGCGTGCTTCGTTTGAATTAACGGCCTCGACGGTGGTATTCAAATATTCCAAGATACTTTCACCTAAAAAAGGAGGAAAAGAGAGAGAGAGAGAGAGAGAGAGAGAGAGAGGAGAGGTACATTAAAATTTTCTATTTTTGTTATTGTTATTGTAATACTCACACAAAGCTAATTCCCCATTCGAATTTTGGGAAACATCGGCAATGGAAATATTCGTCTCCTTTAGTTGTTGGCCCAGTTGGACTATTTTGTCATGACAAAGCCTAGGATTGAAGTGGAAATAGATACGGCCGCGTGGTAGTGATACTCTTTGATTTATATTCCATAAATCTTCCAGATAATGATTATCCACAACGTACAGGACGTAGAGGTTATCGATAAGAAATTTCCCAGCAATGGTGTGTAGGTTACGCAGGAAATGCAATGATACCAGATAGTGTGAGCGTATTATTTTTAAATATCCCGTTATTTCACTGAGATTACCCAGGGCCTTGTCTAAAGCGTCGATATTGGTATCTGCGAAAAGAGAAACAACATTTTTATTAGGAGAATAGGGGGTTTGTTGAAGGTAGCGAGATTCTTATTGGAACACAGGGCGGTCTCCTAAGACAAATACATTTTCTTATTGGATGGTCTATAGGTTTTCTAAGCCTGAGAGAACCAATTCGAATTCTAATATGAAAATCTATAGGACTTCTAATAGTAACCCCAATAGGCCTTAAATGGGAACACCAAAACCTAATAGGAAGACCAATAAGCCTTCTAATAGGAATACCAAGTAGTCTTCAAACAGGAAGTCCAATAGAATTTCTAATAGCAATAATATTAGGTCTTAAAATAGGAAGGTCAAAAATAATTCTAATAAGCAGACCAAGGGGAATTCCTATAGGAAGGCTGATAGGTCTAGGATAGGAGGAACAATATGTCTTCTAATGAGAAATTCAATCGACATTCTAATTGGTAGACGAATAGGTCCACTAATAAGAAGGCCACAAATATTATTTTTTTATTATATATTATTTTTTTCTAATAGGAATATCCTATTGTCTCCCACATAGGGAGACCAAAAGGTCTTCTTCAAAATGGAAAACCAATAAAACCTCTAATAAGAAAATCAATTAGTATTCTAATAATAAATCCGATTGTACTCATGTACGAAGATCTATAGATTAATTAATAAGAATATAATCAGCTAATTTAAAACCCAAACATATTAGGTAATCTAATATAAGGGTCATGAGTCTTCTTCTGATTGGAAGACCAAAAGATCTTCTAATTAAGATACTAATAGGTTTTTTTGTAAGAAGTCCAATAGGTTTGTCAATAAGAAGACCAATATGTCCTCTTATAAGAATATCAACAAATAATCTAATCCAAGTCCTATTAGATCATCTACTTGAAGGATCATGGGTTTCCTTCTTATTGAATACCAAGAGATTATCTAATTGGAAGACCAATACGTATTCTAATAAGACCAATAAGTATTCTAATAAGACCAATACGTATTCTAATAAGACCAATATGTCTTCTGATAAGAAGACCACCAAATCTTCTAATGAGAAGACAATTCGGGTTTCTAATAAGATGACCAACAATATATTTTCTAATATGAAGACAAACAGATCTTCTAATAAGAATACCATTAGGATTTATTTTAGGGTGACAAAGATGGTATCTACCTAAGTTATTCCAATAAGAACATCAACAGGTCTTCTAATTGGAATATCATTAAGACTTCTAATACGAAAACAATAGGACTTCTAATATGAAAAAATATACAATATTTATATGAAGACTAATATAACTCCCATAGGAAGACAATAAGCCCTCAAAAGAGAACACCCGTTGACCTTCAACAACGACGACCTGTCTTATTTTACATTGCATTTTTCCATCCAACTTACTATTAAAATTGGTTAGCTCCAAAGTCAACGAACCCTGCAGTATAGTGCAATCTGCCAATCCCTCCAAATCCTCCAGAGTTTTAATTGTGAAATTTCCACTACAGCGTAGAGAACATGAACGCGGAACACCATTCACTTTCACTGTTTCATACATTTTCGGGCATTTTTCGATGCAATGGACCCCTAGACGCAGTAAACCATATTGACTGCAATCGGCTACACATTGTCTGCCAAAGGCCTGTAAGAACAAGAGAGGAAGAACTATTTATGACAAATTTTAAAAAAATCCACCTACCTTCGCCCTTGGCGGTATACAATCCCTGACACATTTCTTGCCACTTATCAGCGTGGAACAGTAGCGACAGCTATCATCGGCACACGACGTCAAACAATTGCCACTGCAACATTTCCCCTTTTTATTACATTTTCCCGAGGGACAATTGACAGGGCATTGATTGTTGTTGTAATCGGCTAAAATTTGTTTTTGTGGCTTACCCAGGGACCAACAATTCTGATAACGTTCTTGTTCGGTGGGATTTAGGCCATAGCAGAGGGGACAATAGTTGGGTGATTTGTTGTTCTGGGGGAAAATGCCGAATTAAATTAATGTGTATCTATTAAATTTGTATCTATTACAATAACGAGATAAATTATCTAAGGTATGTTTAGAAGTCATTCTCGTCTTAAGATAACATAGATAATCTATAATTATAGTGTACAAATTGACATTCTGTAATAAATTTTTAACAATGAAGATAATTTATCTACGTCATCTAAAATTGTAGATAACTTATAAATTACAAATAAAAAAACTGTAGATAAAATTTATGTAAAAAAGCAGGTTATTATTTACCTGTAAGTCATCTATGTTATGAAAACAGTATATATAAATTATTTAAGTTAAGAAGATATCGTAGATAAATTATCTATGATGTGGAAACGAAGTAAATAAATTATCTACATGATAAAAATAGTGTAGATAATTAATTATCTTATATAAATAACGTAGAATAACCATCCAAAAATAGGAGATAATGTAGATAAATCATCTACGCCATCCAAATACCGTAGAAACATCATCTACGTTATGAATATAGCTTAGATAAATTATCTACCTTGTCCAACATTTTAGATAAATCATCTACGTAGTCCAAATATCTTAGATAATTCATCTATGCTGTGGAAATAACGTAGATAACTTAACGGCATTATGGAAATATCTTAGATAATTCATCTACGGTATGTGTAATATTTTAGATAGTTCATCTATGTTGTGAAAATAAGGAAGCTAACTCATCTGCATTATGGAAATAATGTATATAACTAGTCCATGCTAAGGAAATGTCATAGATAACTTATCTACGTCAAAGAAATAGTATAGATAACTTATCTACGTTATGGAAATATCGTAGACAACACAACTATGTTAATGAAATAGCTTAGATAACTAACCTACGTAATGGAAATTGCTTAGATAACTCATATACGTTATGGAAATAACGCAGATAACTTATCTACGTTATGGAAATGACGTAGATAAATTATCCGTGTTATGGAAATATCTTAAAGAACTTATCTACGATATTGAAATAGCGTAGATAACTCATCTATGTCATGAAAATAGCTTAGATAACTCATCTACATTATATATAGCCTAGATAACTCATACTCGTTATAGATATGGCTTAGATAACTCATCTACGATATGAAAATGGTGTAAATAAGTCATCTATGTTATGAAAAAAGCGTAGATAACTCATCTATGTTTTGCAAATAGTATAGATAATCCATCTACGTCGTAGAAATGACGTAGGTAACTCATGTGTGTTGTGGAAATATCGTAGATAACTCATCTACGTTATGGAAATAACGCAGATAACTTATCTACGATGTGGAAATTACGAAGATAACTTATCTGTGTTATAGAAATAACGTAGATACTTTATCTACGTTATGTAAATGGTGTAGATAAATTATCTGTGTTATGGAAATTGCTTAGATAAATCATCAACGTTATGGGAATAGTGTAGATAACTTATCTACGTTATGAAAATGGTGTAGATAACTTATCTACGTTATGAAAATGGTGTAGATAAGTCATCTATGTTATGAAAATAGCGTAGATAACTCATATACGTTTTGCCAATAGTGTAGATAATCCATCTACGTCGTAGAAATGACGTAGATAGCTCATGTGTGTTATGGAAATATCGTAGATAACTCATCTACGTCATAGAAATGACGTAGGTAACTCATGTGTGTTATGGAAATATCGTAGATAACTCATCTACGTTATGGAAATAACGTAGATAACTTATCTACTATGTGGAAATTACGAAGATAACTTATCTGTGTTATAGAAATAACGTAGATAACTCATCAACGTTATGAAAATGGCGTAGATAACTCATCAACGTTATGAAAATGGCGTAGATAAATTATCTGTGTTATGGAAATTGCTTAGATAACTCATCAACGTTATGGAAATATTGTTGATAACTTATCTACCTTATGAAAATGGTGTAGATAACTTATCTACGTTATGGAAATGACGTAGATAAATGATATAATGATGTAGATAACAAAATTATACATTTATGGAAATAATGTAGATGGAAATAATGTAGATAAATTAACTACTATAGGGAAATAACATATTTACCTTCAAAACATAATGAAACTCTTTAGAGTGATTACCCAATATCGATACCCAATTAATTGTATGGGTATAGCACAGCGACGGATTTGATTCGATGCGTATCGAACCACGTATAACCCGTAGCAATGAAATTAAACCAATATTTTCCATATAACGATTTTCCAATATAACCAAACCATACCGATCATAGAGTAGATGGACACCACGTATCACCAGAAGTTTGGGAAAAATTCTCTCCAAACTGTCCAGACCATGTATCCGATAGACTAATAAATAATCGGTGATTTCTTCCACTTCCAAAGGGCGTAAAGTCAACAACATTTTTGGAGTCAACTCGAATTCCACCAGCTTGACATGACCAGTTATTATTGTACAATTTCGTATCTGTTCGATGTCATGGAGGTTTCGTATTATGGTCGATTTACACAAAATTGGTTCCTGGCCTTGGCTGGCGGCATAGGGGACATGGAGGCACAACAAAATGAAGAAGGTGCTGATAAAAGGGAGAAAATAAACCGGCAAGCGTTTCATTTTGTTGGCATTTGGGTTCTTTTTTCCTCGTTTTGTTTTTCGGTGATGGGAAAGGCCTCTCCACCTCCTCCTTCTTCGCTATGGAATTGCCTTATGCTGGTGTATTGTTGGCGTTGGTGCTGATGATGACGACGATGCTGCTCACTCAGCTGAGTTAATTGTTTAATTGGAAACTTGACCCCGAAATCAATAGATATTATTTTCACTAAGAATAAATTACTTTGTGTACTTGTGTCTGGCGAGATACATTTCTCTTCTTCGTTTTTGGGTATTGTTTTGGAATTTTTGTTGTTGTAATTACTTCTTTATATTATTTGTCAAAAGTAATAATTGATATATTTCTGTTTCTTTTTTTTAAGTTTTTTTATTCAATTTCTTGGTGTTTTCACTTCAACCTCTCACTGGGCAATCGATGTTCACCCTTTCGTTGATCAATTAAAACTAAATCGTGAATGTAGATCAATTTCTTTTCAATGGTCTTTTATTCTGAGACCAGACACTCATTTAGAGAGAGTGAGAGTTAAGTATGATTTTATTTTGGTGAGAGCAAGAGGTAGATAGTATAAATGAGATTTTGAAGAGTAAACTTAGTTATAAACATAAACAGAGATACGGATAGGACTTTAAGGAAACCTATGAATGCAGTCAAAGCCTGGCTTAAAGTTAAGATATCCAGGGTGGCCATCTGGTGGCAAAAAGAAATGGTTTAAAGATAGATAAAAAATAAAATCCACGTATTTTTTGGGTACTTGAAATAAATTTTCTTTAAAAAGTCCAATGGCTTAGGGGAAGTCAAAAAAATATTTTTTTTTTAAATCACGCCTGTGAGAAGTCAAGACATTTTCTTTAAAAAATCCATACCATGCGGGAAGTCGAAACCAGTATGGAAAGTAGTAAAGTCGCATTGGGCCGACTATATGACACCCTTCACCACTTTGGGAATATTCTACATATGTATCCTAACAGATCTCGCCTTTTCAAAGGAATATTGACATAAAATTGAACGAACTTAAATATGCGATCTTTATCTATAAGTAAACCGACTAACATTCCAACACATGCCACTCTGAAACCTATTCCATACTTTCTAAATAGATTTAAAGCAAACTTTACACACCCTATTTGGTTTGCTTCAATCAGGCACAGATTGATTATTTGGTGTACAATCAAATTATTATGGAAATTATATATGGAAGCTATGATATACCTACATCTGAACCGATTTCAAGGAAACTTGCTAGATATTAATTTTTATTAATTTCAGTACGTTTTGTCAATCGGCCTAGGCATGAGCCTTTAGTGAACCATTTACTTAAAATCGGATGAAAGTATATATAGAAGCTATATGTAAATCTGAACCAATTTCAAGAAAACTTGACACACGAAAGGTTATAGGAACTTCAGTACATTGTACAAAATTGTGTGCCGATCGTCCAATCTTTGGGTCTTTAGTGCACAATTTAAACTAAATCGGTCGAAAATATTTATATTGGAGCTATATCTAAATCTGAACCGATTTTCGCGAAACTTAGCACATATCATTCTTGACTTAATTGAGTAACCTATGCAAAATTTCGTGCAAATCGAAAGATATATAGGGACTTTGGAGCCCGTTTACCTTAGAACGAACGCAAAATTTTATGGGAGCTATATATAAATCTGAACCGATTTTCTCGCAACTTGGCAAACATCATTCTGGACCTAATTCAGTACTCTATGTCAAATTTCGTGCAAAACGAAAGATATATAGGAACTTTGGTGCCTCATTTACCTTAAATCGGACGAAACTATATGTGGGAGCTATATCTAAATCTGAACCGATGTTTTCGAAAGTTAACACACATCATTCTGGGCCTAATTCAGTACTCTAAGCCAAATTTCGTGCAAATCGAAAGACATGTTGGGACTATGGTGCACCATTTGCCTTAAATAGGACAAGACTATATGTGGGAGCTATAACTAAATCTGAACCGATTTTCTCGCAACTTGGCAAACATCATTCTGGACCTAACTCAGTACTCTATGCCAAATTTCGTGCAAATCGAAAGTTATATAGGAACTTTGGTTCCCCATTTACCTTAAATCGGACGGATATATATATGGGAGCTATATATAAATCTGAACCGATTTTCTTGAAACTTGGCACACGTCATTCTAGACTCAATTCAGTACACTAAGCTAAATTTCGTGCAAATCGAAAGATATGTAGGGACTATGGTGCACCATTTACTTTAAATCGGACGAAACTCTATACGGGAGCTATATCTAAATCTGAACCGATTTTTTCGAAACTTAACACACATCATTCTGGACCTAATTCAGTACTCTATGCCAAATTTCGTGCAAATCGAAAGATATATCGGGACTTTGGTACACCATTTACCTTAAATTGGACGGAAATATATATGGGAGCTATATATAAATCTGAACCGATTTTCTTGAAACTTGGCACACATCATTCTGGACCTAATTCAGTACTCTATACTAAATTTCGTGCAAATCGCAAGATATGTAGGGACGTTGGAGCCCTTTTACCTTAGATCGAACGAAAATATTTATGGGAGCTTTATATAAATCTGAACCGATTTTCTTGAAACTTGGCACACATCATTCTGGACCTAATTCATTACGCTATGCCAAATTTCGTCCAAATCGAAAGATATATCGGGATTTTGGTGCCCCATTTACCTTAAATCGGACGAAACTATATATGGGAGCTATATCTAAATCTGAACCGATTTTCTTGAATTTCCATTGGGTTTGTCCTTGGGCCAAATATGTGACTTGTGCCATATTTTATCCAATTCGATCTGTACTTTGTTTACAATTTAACATCTACAGACACGGACGGACGAACTGACGAACATGCATAAATCGACTCAGAAAGTGATTCTATTCATATTCTCAAAAGGAACAATGTGTCTATCTCGTTTCTTTTTGCCTGTTACGAACATATGCATAAAGATATAATACCCTGTACCACATTGGGGTGAAGGGTATAAAAAGCTTTTTTCAGGACTATGTAAAGCGTGGATTTTTATACCCTTCACCACACTGTGGTACAGGATATTATGTCTTTGTTTAGTGGCATTTACAGTATGCATTTTTGGTTAAGTTGGCAACCCTTGGTTTTACAGGAGGCAGGTCATTCTAAAGTGTGTTGCCGCACATAAACCAAAACCGGTTGTTCTTGATATTTGGTGTTCATTTCAGTGATGACCTGTGGAAGTTTTTTTTTTGCTTAATGATATGAGGTGGCATCATTAGCTTTGTTGTTGTAATGAAGTGTGTTGCATTGTGAATATTGTTAGTTTAAAGGAGGTTGGGATGAAAACTTCATCTTTTGAATGAAAGAAATACAATTAGGGAAGTCGATGTAGATATGATTTGTTTAATTAATGAAAGGACAAAAGCAATTCAATATTATTTAAAAATCTCTCATATTGGTTACTCTGTAGATAACCAATGTTATATTACTAAAAAGAAATAATATTTATATTCAGAAGAAATAGAAAAGGTGATGGATGGTCACTGCTAAGCCTTATTTTGAGAAGAATATGTAGTCACTGTTGCAAAATGTAGTATTCAAAAAATAAATTTATTGTTTTTTTTTTAATAAATTCAAATTTTTCCAAGTTAATCTATGTTCACCTTTGAATCGTAAAACGATGTTCTAGAAGGTACCACATTTTTTTTTTGAATTCACAAAATATTATTTTCTTTTATGTAATAATATAACCTTTGTTGTTGTTTCCGTTTTACCAACGGACATTAATTAAACAAAATATTCAATTTGTTTTCTTCATAACTACCCAAGAAAAAGGTACTTCCAGAAGAAGAGTTATTTAAAATTATTTGAAGAAAAAAGAAATATGCAAACAAAAGAAGGAGAATCCTATTAAAACTTTTGTTCTGACCAAAAATTTTTTTCTATTCTTTATTTTGTGCTTGATTGACATGGTATTTCTATTATTTGTTTTCGTAGCGCTCATTTTAAGCTTGGCCTACTGGACAATGGGCGTATAATTTTCTGTATTTTAAAATAAGTAATAAATTGAAAAATGAAATGTGGAATAAAGGATAACGTTGGGCAAGAAAAAGTTAAAGAAATAAAAAAATCGTGGTTGGATCAGAAATTAACATAAACACCATGTGATAAGAAATTGAAAAAAAAAAAGATTCGTGGGTGGTATCTAAGGTATCTAAGGAGTGGTTTTTCTACTCTTCAACACACTGTGGTACAGGGTAGTATGTTTTTGTGCATATGCTTGTAACAGGCAAAAGGGAACGAGATCGACACATGGTTCCTTTTGAGGATATGCATAGAATCACTTTCTGATTCGATTTATGCAGGTCCGTCCATCTGTCCGTCTGTAGGTGTTAAATTTTAAACAAAGTACAGGTCGCATTTATGATCCGCTCTGGATGAAATTTTTTTTGCATAGTATACTGAATTATGTCTAGAATGATGTGTGTCAAGTTTCGAGAAGATCGGTCCAGATTTAGATATAGCTCCCATATATATTTTCGTCCGATTTAAGGTAAATTGGGCACCAAAGTCCCTATATAAACTTCGATTTGCACGAAATTTGGCATAGAGTACTGAATGAGGTCCAGAATGATGTGTGCCAATTTTCCAGAAAATCGGTCCAAATTTAGATATAGCTCCCATATATATTTTTGTCCGATTTAAGGTAAATGGGGCACCAAAGTCCCTATATATACTTCGATTTGCACGGAATTTGGCATAGAGTACTTAATGAGGTCCAGAATGATGTGTGTCAAGTTTCGAGAAGATCGGTCCAGATTTAGATATAGCTCCCACATATATTTTCGTCCGATTTAAGGTAAATGGGGCACCAAAGTCCCTATATATACTTCGATTTGCACGAAATTTGGCATAGAGTACTGAATGAGGTCCAGAATGATGTGTGCCAATTTTCCAGAAAATTGGTTCAAATTTAGTTATAGCTCTCAAATATATTTTCGTTCCGTTTCAG